CAAGTGGTGTACTCTGAGAATAAATCAGTAGAAAAATACCTAATTTGTCTTATGCCTTCTAGAGAGATGACAGATAGGGACCAGGCATATCTGAATGTCTCGTGTTAGAAATACAGACTAATTCATTTGAGTCCGTGTAGAGAAGTGAGGTTTGGACAGGTGGCCCTCTCTCTTTGGCAAGTATGGCTGTGGGTTGTCTTTTGGTGGCCTGTTTCCTGTACTCTGTCAGGAAATCTGGCCTCAGATATGGCCTCCGATAGTATGAGAGCATGCCATTCCCATTCAGAGACGAGAGCTTCAAAGTTCAGACAGACAAAACCAGTCACAAAATGAAAATGGGCCTTGGAAATAATTGCTTTCAGGGAAAATAGAAAATATTCACAGGAGCTAAGCTTCAGCTTTAAGACATTTTCAGTGTCCTGTATAGAATTCTCAACACAGCTCTGCTGGTGACTCCAGAGCAATGTGAAGAGGGACCTGATGGGGAATCATTTTGGGCCCCATAAGTCTGTTTGTCCTGTGGGGGGTGGGAGGCAAGAAGAGAACATTCACTATTCACTCAGCATTTAATTCATTTCATTCATTCAGTGTTTGCCTATAAGGTGCAGCTGTATGAGGTACTGCAATATAATGGTGGGAAGGGAAGAGATACAGTCGCTGTGGTCCTAAAGCCCACTGTGAATTTCTAAGATTCCAGAATTTGGAATTTCCAATCTAATGAAACAAGACCTTGGAGAAAAATTCTTCACCCAGCTGAGCCACAGACTTTTTGAGAAACAAGTAAAACCTAGGGCATTGCCCCTCCAAACACCTGTCCATGCACAGAGTCTGCACAGTTTCATAACTTCGCGGCCCTTTTGAAGACCATCTCCTGGATTCCAGGTGGCAAACTTCTTTCTCCCAGCTCCCTTTCTATCCAGGGCTGTGAAATACCACTCTAAAGGCCTGGATGACATTGCTTGCATCTGAAAGTGGCCTCGCATAGTCCATGTCTTTGTTGAGCCCATTCCATCTCTTAGAGGAAGGGACGTGGGTCAGTGTATTTATTTTTGGAGAACAGAGGGCTCAATAGAAAATATTCTTTATATATTTCCAGTTGGAAATCTTTGTTTTAGAGATGCAACTGGCCTTTTAATACTTGCTTCTTGAGTCAGAATAGCTCCCAAGTACCCAAAGTCCCTGTTTCTAGGGACACCGCAGACATCCTAGGATCCCATCCTTCCTGCAGGAGTTTGCAGCAGGGCCCTCACCACTGCCATGGACACTAATGCCCTGTACAGAGGTGCTCTGTGGCCCCTGGCTACCCACACTTCACTCTTACTTTCATGTTTATTTTCATGTCAGCTATGCATTGGTGAAATAGAGAGGTTGGAAAGATGACCTGACTCAGAGCTAGGAGTAGCAGCGAGTGGTTAAGCCCAGGGAGACTTTATCATTATGACCTCAGTGAACGCGGCATGTTTCTTCATAGTTTCCACTTCCTGTGCTCTATATCTGCAAAGTGGGGAGAAAATATTACCCACCCCGAAGGGTTGTTTTAGGGATAAAATGAGTTAATACTTGTAAAGTGCTTGCAAGAGTGACTGGAATACGTAAGTACATAATAAGTATTAGCTACTATTACTGCTGTTGGTATCATTAATAGCCTCCAGGGTAATAATTTGGGTTTGCATAAATATTAGGGAAGCCTGTTGGAATGTCTCTATAAGTTGTCAGGGCTTAAATCATATGTGGCCTTGTGGCCTTGGTCTCTTTTAAGGCAAGAAGAACTTAGAGGAGAGGGACTCTGAACACTCATAGGATAGCAGACCTGAAAGGAAGTGTTTGGCACCGTATTTGCAATTCCTAAGTGCCCAGATGCCGTTAGGGTTAGGAGTTATATCTTTTGATAAGATGAAGGTAAATGTAAGCTGTGGGATTTTCACTTTGCCAATAGTTTATTTATTTAGCAGCCTTTTGCAGATACCTGCAATGTGTCAGGCCTGGCTTACGTCTCAAAGTCTAAGAATTTGAAGGTTGAGTTTATCTGTTTCATCCTGGCTCACCTGGGCCCATGCACACACACACTCACTGGTATGCACACATATCAACATACGTACACCATGCACGCACACACCATCTATAAAGTTATGTTGGCTGCTGCACATGGAACTCAAGGGATAGTTCTCAGAAGTCTCAGCCTGAATTGGTTTCCCTTATATTTGCATATTCTGCCTGCCAGATAGCAAGCTGGAATTGATTTTAATAAGAAAGAAACTGCTGTTCAGTTCCGAACCACTGTCCATACCTCAGACTTTATTTTTAATCTGGGGAGTGACAGCAACTCGCTGCACCAGGAGGAGATAGGTAGTTGGCCTCCCCTAGCATTCGGCTGGAGGCTCCCTTGGCAGCCTGTCCTCCAAAAAGTTGTCTGGGACACCTCATTTTTCTTTTGTGTGCTGGACAAGGAAAGGCCCCAGAAAGGCTGTCACTCAGAGGGACAGGTTCCCTTTGTGAGATTGCCCAACTGAGCCTGAAGCTGAAAATGTCAGCAAAAAACAAATAGCATTTCAAAAGGGCCTTGTGCATTTCCTTCCTCTCGATTTGCATTGCCTCATCAGCCAGGTGTTGTATGAGCGACTTTGGAGGACCTGTTAGACCTGATAAAGAAGTCACTGCACAAAAACATGTTTTCTCCATTTCACCTCACTCTGACATTTGGGTTTTGTTGCCTTGCTTTTATTTTTTTAGCACTCACTTGCTAATGACACAAACAGAACAAAAGGAAAATGATTGTCTTTTCAAGCTTCACTTCTTATTTCTTCTTTTGTAATTTTCAGAATGAAGGTAGATAATACAGAATTTTATTTGTTCTCTTTCTAGTTTTGCATTTGTCAGACACTGATTTCTAGTGTTTGGAACCTACTTCCTGCCCTAGAAGCAGAAAGATGACAGCTGCAGTATAATAACCCTATCTTTGTCCTCATGAAGTAGTTGTTTAGCTGGGCCTCTCCTCTTTCTGCAGGTGCTCTAGGGACATGAAGGGATCTCTGGGTATGTAACAAGGTGGCTCAAAGCAGATCTGAAGAGATCTGAGGTAGATTTCTAGCTCTCCCATTTAATAAGTGGCTGACTTTGAGAAGTTGTTCATTTTTGGAAGTTCAGTTTCTTTACCTTTAAATAATGTGTATATGTCTAAAACTCATACCTCAGGGTTCTGGTGAAGATGATACCCACAGAACTACAAAGGGGCTGGGCACCTGGGACATTGCAGTAAGGAGGGATCGCCTCTCGGCCATCAGCTCTGGCATGTAAGACAAAGAAATGGGGTTTAGAAGGAGCTTATAGTTCTAGACAGAAATACTTATTTGGGCTGCTTCTCTGAGCCTCGATTTTCCTGTTGGTATGTAAGCAGCATTTTCCCAAGCTCATTCTAGACTTACACAAGGTGAAATCTGGGCTCTAGGTCAAAGCCAGTTCTGTCTGATTCTAGCCCTGGCCTTTAACTAACATGGAATGATGCCTGCACCTGGGCCATGGTCCAGAGACAACATTAGCAGGGCTTCCAGAGAAAGGCTGTCACTGAGGACCAGGGAAGTGCTCAGGAGGAATCCAGCATTACAGGGCAGTGTTAGTACCTTAACTTTCCCAGGTAGAGTTTACTTAAATGCACACTGGGGATCATAGAGTCCTGAAAGAATAACGAGTTTTGAGTTTTCAGTTAAGGTCTTTGAAGTCTTTTGGAATTGTTACACACAGGATCAAATAGAATAGAATGATTTTCATGCTCCTGATAGAGATTTTAGATTAATGTCTACAAAGCTCACAAAACTCTTTGCATTAAATAATCATTTACCCAGTTGATACCAGTCACATTTCATTTTCAGTGCCATTAACACTTGAGAGCAAAGAGCAGGCTTTGGGAGTATTGATTAGAAGTATGTTTTGGAGAAAATTTCAGTGGGCCATTCATTCATTCAACCGGTATTTGATGAACACAGCACCAACTCTTGGTCAGCCACTGCTATAGGTGTTAGAGTATAGTTGCAAGCAAGTGAACGACCTATACCTTCTCAGAGCTGTTCTTCCAAGGAGAGGACACTGACACACACATAACCAATGCACACATAGATGAGAATGTTATTGTGAAGCAAGAGTCAGGTGAGGGGAGAGAGAGGCTGGGGCTGCACAGGAGTGTGCAGGGAAGGACTTGGAGGTAAGGAGTTGCAGAGTTGAAATTCTGAAGACAACCGTGAACCACCCACGTGACTCTCTGAGCATGGAACATTCCATATAGAGGGGAGGGCAGCTGTGTGTCCTGGGAGGGAGGGGAAGGAGCTCAGTTAGAGTGCCTGAGGGAATGGAAGGAAAGCTTTGTGCTCAGAGCCCAGCAAGCTACTTAGAGGCTGGAGTGGGAAACCAGAGCCAGCTTGCAGTGGTCTTGACCATGATAAGCAAATTTATTCCGGGTGCAGTTAGAAGCCGTGGAAGGTCATAAGAGGAAGCAATATCACTTGATTGTGGAAAAATGCTTATAATGAAAGATTAAATGGAAAAGGACTTCCAAATATAGAACTGTGTATTTAGTACTATTTACACTATGCAAGTGTATGTGTGTGTGTGTTATGTAAAATGTGTGTGTATTCAGTAAACAAACTGGAGGAAGATGCAGCAAATGCTGTAGTTCTCTTGATGGCGGTGGGCTTGTTTTCCTTCTTTACTTCCCTGCATTTTATAGTTTTCCATTAGTTTCTGTTACTTTAAATTGTATGCTTTTTGAAAGCATTGTGTAGCAGGCAGTGGAGAGAATGTAAGACTCACAGTACTTTAGCATATCTTATCTTAAATTTGAGTTTAAAGCAATGTTGTTTTGAATGCCAGAGTGCATGTTGAAGGCTCTGGCCAGTGGTTTATTTGGTTTTTTAATGAGCCTTCTCAAAAAGGAACTTCTTCAGTACCCATCTATTTTTTGTGCTGATTGTTTATGCAAATGATTCTGACATTTCTGTTTCATCCCATAGATCTGAACATCACATGCCGCTATGCAGGTGTATTCCACGTGGAGAAAAATGGACGCTACAGCATCTCTCGGACGGAGGCAGCCGACCTCTGCAAGGCTTTCAACACCACCCTGCCCACCATGGCCCAGATGGAGCTGGCACTCAGCAAGGGCTTTGAGACCTGCAGGTGAGAGACCATCAAGCAGCCCCACTGGGGAAAGCCAAGGGCCTGGGTGCAGGGCGCATGGCTTTGGACTAGGAAGCCTCTTCCCTGAAAGCTGCATAGATTATTGCCTAAAGAGCCAGCCCCACCTATTAATTTGGCCAAATCAATGTGGAACCAGTATGACAGCTGGAATTTAAAGCCGGCTAAAGATACCTTTGTGAATCATAGAGAGGGAGGCTAGAGGAAGCCATTAAGGGTCATGTCGGTCGGAATCCTCTTGTCTAATGTGCTTCCACAGCGTTCTCCCAGCTTTGAAGATGCACGCAATATCATGGTTGGAACCACAAGAAAAACCTAAAGCAAATAACAGTGTTTAAAGTAAATATGTGGCTGGTAGAGTCTTGGCCCTGCCGACTTGGCTCAAAGCAGACTTTTTAAACATCCCTCTTTTCTCTTTCTCCTCTGTGTTGCTCTGGTTTGAGGAAGTACATACAAGCGAGTGAAAGTATTTAGATAGATGAAGATACATTATTGTTACGATCTCTGAGAGGGCTCCTACTAAGTACCTCAGTGCTCTGGAGAGCGTCCCTCAGACCATTTTGCTCCAGGAGCTCACAACAGGCTGACGCCTTATTTTTCTGATTCCTGTGGCATGTGGTCCATGCAGAACAAGCCGTGGTGGCAAGCACAGAGACATGTTTGGTTTGGTTTGGTTTGATTTCATTAGAAGGGGTCTGGATGATCTCAGTAATTGCTCTAAGGTTCCCCACCCCATCCTGCTGCTTAGGTAGCACACAGTTCCCCTCTGTCTTCAGTGCCCCCACCCCAGTGCTTTTGGAAAGTCAAGCTGCAGCTCTCTCTACTGAAACTATTCAGTGTAAGTTCAGCGCATCCATCCCCTGTTCTTAATTACAGCATTAGTCACCTACTTCAGGAGTGGTAGCCAGGACTCTTTTCCTAAAAGAGAAGAGGAGAATCTTTAGTATAAAATTACTGTAATGTGATAGCTGCTAGCCACATTTGGCAATTTATACTTGAATTAATTATAATTAAATAACATGAAAACTTCAGTGGCACTAGCTATATTTTAAGCACTCAATTAGCCTCAAATGGACAGAGACTACTGTGTTGAATGACATATATATATATAAATTATATATATATAATTTTCATCATTGAAGACATTCTCTTGGAGATCAGAAGGAGGTAAGAGGAGCAGAGGAGAAGAGACTACTCTGGTAGCTACTGAACCTGAGATGTCGGCAGCAATGAAGGAAGATCAATTAGCAAATGCATTTATTCTATTGCTAAGGCTGATTATTTAAATCTGGTCTGGACTAGGCCACTGGGCTAAGAAAGGGGATTTGGTAAGCTGAATTCTGATAGTGAAATAAAATACAGGCGAGGCACACTGGGTGAAATATACAGATGTGCTGAGAACTAGGGAGCTCTTATTCTTGCCAGGGGCAATCGTGGAGCAGCGAGATGGTGGGTGTCCAGCTGCTCCCTTAGCTTAATCCTTACACTGCCTTGTGGGTGGATATCACTACCCTACTTCATAGGTAAACTCTGCAACGTGTCCTGTAACTCACAGACTGCACAGGGAAGAGTCGGGATTGCATCCTCCTTAGACTGAGCCCAGGAGAAGATTTTAAAGACCAAGCCCTACCCAGGCTTTGAGGGCAAAAGGGGAGGGAAATATGTTGTATGGATTTGCTGAATATTTCCACCCCCTGCAAATAATAACCTACTTATGCCACATCCACACATACATTTTAATATCCCCAGTTTATGTCAGTGTATTTCCACGGGCAACAGGCAACATGGTATAGCGAAAATTTGTAAGTCATAACTTACAAAGGGACTGTGTTAGATCCTAGAGAGTCGGTATTATGCGTATTTGTCAACATGATGTGATGGGGGAGTAGGTTCACTGTGGAGTACTGTTTAGAAAAAAACAGAAAGGAAACACTGTGCCAAAGAAGTCTATCATTTCACCTATAACTGGCATTAAGTGTTGTGAAACTCATTTCCATACTTTCACTTGGGTAGCCAAGAATCAGATGCCTGCACAGGACAAATGGCAACCTCATAGAAAAGGGTGAAGCCTCAGCAGCTGCTACTTTTTGACCTGCCCCAGCCTGATTAGTAGCAACTCTCATACATGAAAACTTATTAACATTTAATTGTACCCCTCCCCCTATTGAGTGAAGGAGACTTTGGGAAAACCAGTTGGACGGTGCAGGTAGGAATTAGTCATGCGAGCTACTGTTGCAACATAATGAGTTCTAGGTGCTTAGAAATATCCAACTCATACATCTTTCTCTGGGTCTTACAGGGCGATGCACTCTGGGCGGTTGCCTCTGGCAGGAAGGATTAAAAGGATCTATACAGTTCATTTTAGCCAGCATTGCAATTTCAAAAACCAGCTGAATTTAACTCTTCCCTTCCTGTCCTCCTAATGTTACCACCTCCTCCCTTGCAAATGGTATTTTCTCAGTCCACCTTTCAACTTTTGAGTCAGGTTATATTTGGAAAAAAATGTGTTATAAGTGAACATGTGGCCACCAGGGTGCTACTAAAAGCAGCTGGACTCAGTACCTTGTGTCTGAAAGGAACTCCAGCTGTCACATGCCTCCAGAAACATCTGTATAGGGAGCCAGGGAGTAAATGTTTTACCAGCTTTGCTGCTTCTGCAGTGTTACTGAGCGGAACAAGCCATTGCCAACTACTCACTGAATTCCAATGATTCTTATTTTAATGATGGTCAGTTTAGTTCCACTGGCAATAGAATTATGCTTGGGATGCTCATGAGGCAAAACATGGTGGTGTTTGGCACATGAACAAGGCTTTGTGTTTGGGATAATGGAGTGTGGTGTGGAAAGGTGAGGCGAGGAATAAAAAGTGGTGGATGGGAAATGAGGCAGGTCTGAAATTTGTGGGCTGAAATGAAGAACCACCTCTTCTCATGGTAGGGAAGTGGGCCATGTTGTGTCTTGTCTGGAAAAGATAAAGTTCCTTGAGTGCCAGAAGGAAACTCACACTGTATTCTCTCTTCTGTAACTTGGGGCTTTCTTCTGCTTGTTTAAGCCAACTCAATGCCGCTGAGCACCAGTTATATTTGACACTAATTTTTTTTCATGAATTTTCTTTCTTTAAAAAACAAAGCAAAAGCTGTTCATGAGTCTGTAAATAAAATCACATTATCTCTATCTCCCTTGTTGATCTCTTTCACTCTCCTGTGTTGTTATCAGTGGATTTCCTGTAACCCAGCTGTTGAAACTTCCAGCATCCCTAGGGATGAATGGAGTGAAGCAATGCATTGCATTAGATGTCACTTGACGGGATCTTAGGAAGTTTCTGCCGCAGCCTTGCAGGTTGCTAACCTCTCATTTCTTCGTGGCAGGTACGGGTTCATAGAAGGGCATGTGGTGATCCCCCGGATCAACCCCAACGCCATCTGTGCAGCCAACAACACAGGGGTATACATCCTCCCCTCCAACACCTCCCACTACGACACGTACTGCTTCAACGCATCAGGTTGGTTCTAAGTGCACTGTTTTTATGTTATCTTTGGTGGTGTGGCTGGATGGTAGCAGCTCAATCATGGCTTAGGTGGAGATGCACAGAGCCTCCATTCATATAACAAAGGCTCTCTGACTCTCTGTACAACAGAGACAAGATTCCTGTCTCCATGGAGCCCATTGGGAGAACAATCAATAAACAAATAAATATTACATACCTTACATGAAGTCAAAGAGTGCTATTGAAAAAAAGCAACATATGAAGATATAAAGTGCTAGGAATTTTTTTCAGAGAAGGTGGCCAGGGAAAATACCCCCTCAAGAAATACATTTAGGGGAGCCCAGGTCATAAAGAAGGAGTGAAGTTATTGACAGAAGGGGCAGCCAGTGCAAAGCCAGCTTTCAGTAGTGTCCTCTCCTGTTCCAGGGAGGCCAGGGTGGCTGAAGTCCAGTGATCAGAGGGCTAAGTGTCCGGAAAGGGAGAACTAAGTCAGAAGGTAGATCACGTAGGACAGTCCATTCTCAGTATGATGGGAAATCATTGCAGGCTTTGTCTAAGGGAGTGACATGAATCTTGTGAGAGTTTGGGGATGCAAGCCGAAAGACTTAGCTGAGAGTATCTGTTTCATGTTGAAGACTAGGAAAGATATACAATAGACAGGAAGGCCAGCCCTTCCTGAGTGTCCTTTACCACACTTGAGACAACTAAAGGAAGAGAAAGTTAAGAGAAGATTTAGATGCTGGGCTGTTAGCCAGCTTAATTCTCCATCTATGAAACTTTGTTCTAATCAGTGGCACAAAAATTCATGCTTATGAGTCTAATTCAAGCCCCAGAAAAATCAAAGAATTTTGTGCATCATGAAATCTTCAGGATCCTTTGCAGTCCAAACCATCATTGTCCAATTTTTGAATGCCAACAATCAAAAGTCACCTTTTCGGACTGAGCCTTCAAGTTCCCCCTGAAAGGGAAAGGCGAAGCCTTGAGGTGAACTGGACACATCTTCCTGGAGTTTCAGTCTCCCTTAATGATGGGAAGGGGACATTAAGTTAGCTGAAAAGTAACTTAGGAGATTATCTACATAACAAATATAGATTTATGTACACTGATAGAATATAAAATCTGAGTGGATTTTTAAGCTACAGAAGGAGCATCAAAGACCTTGTGAGGTTACATTAGTGTTGAGACTGCATCACTTACTGAGTGTTGCATGAACAGTAAGGTTCAGAGTGGTAATTCAGAGAGGAAATTGAGAGTTTAAGAGAAAAAGAAAGTTACCAGGGCTGGATAATTGAAGTGGAGTATGTTGTGCCAGTAAATTTTGCCAAATATATATATATATATATAGTTCACTAAACCTATAAAGACACACAAACCAAAGAAAATTGCAGAATGTTTTCTCCTCCTTGTTGTATGAACAAAAATAAAAAATGATGAAAAATTTGATCAAAAGGGAGAAAGTCAAATTGAGGTCAGACACTGCATGTTCCATACCAAAAATGCCCATTCTAACGATGTTATAGTCAGCAAAACCACATAGAGTTAAGCGGGAACTAGACACAGAGTGACATGGGATCTGGCCTGCTCCATCTTGGCACACAAGGTCACAGATGAAGGGACTGGTTTAGTGGCAGGGGCCTGGCACGAGCCACACACCTTCAGAGTCTCTAGATACTGCTCGTTGCTTCTCCTACTGGATCTTGTCCAGGGAAAGTATGTAATAAATGATGTAGTTGTGTTCCCACATTGTCTTGCCTTGTTTCACAAGTTGGTATCACTTTGAGTTAAAGTTTTGCGAGCTTTAATTCCAAAAAGCAAAAGCTAATGCTGTTTTATGGCCTGGAACTAAAGCCTGCTAGGCAGGCAACTACTATGGCTTTTTTCTACACCCTGACCCCAGGGCAGGGGTCAATAGCACTGATTAACTTTCTTCTTCATAGAAAAAGAGAACAATAACAGGTATAATTCTTACTCAAATGGCTACATGAAAATAGGAAAGTTAGAAGTACTGTTTTTCTTTTTCTGTCTTTTCCAAATTGATTCAATGTTGACAGGCTTCTTTTGTAAGTTTTCTTTAAGTTTAAAGAGAATATTTATTGGTCAGCTATAATAGTGTACTAGGCACAGAAGGTGTAAGAAAGAACCAGAGGTTGTATTTTTTGCCTTAAAGGAATTAACACTCTTGTTGAAGCAATGAGACACAAAATAAAGAAACTAGAGAAGGGGTAAAAGTGGCCAAAGCTAAATAAATGTTGAAATATCTTGGTTTGGAGTCAGTGTGAGGCATTAAGTAAGCTGAAGATCTTGATAACGTCTTGCTCCATGCAAGGGATCCCATTGGAAAGATCCTAGCGGCTAACTTAGCTTGAGTACTACAAACACATGATGAAGCCCCAGTGCTGGGATTTCCTGTAAACTGGCCACAGAAAACAATGCCAACTGGCTTTTAGTAGATAGCTTTGTGCACTTAAAATCTTAATGGTATTTTTGTGTCTTACAAATTAAAAAATCAGGCAACCCCTGCAAAGGCTTTGTTATTTTTACTGCCTCATCTTTCAGTAGTGAAGGCATAACATGAGCCTGAAGACTTCTGTGGGAAGGCGTAAAAAATTAGTTCAAGGTCATTGATCAGTGGTGAGCCTGAATAATCAGTGCTTCTCTTTTTTTTTGTTTTTGGTACTGGGGATTGAACTTGGGACATTGTGCTTGCAAGGCAGGTGGCGGAACCACTGAGCTAAATCCCCAGCCCAATCAATGCTTCTTTTGGCCATTTTGGTGCAGTGGAACCAAGGTTTCTGAGAATGTAGCCCACCAGGAAACCCACCTTAGCATCTCTAACCAGTCCCTTGGCTCGGGGTCACCTCAGCAGGCTAAATCTCCCAGTAATGCAGTACTCATTAAATAGAATGAAAAACTGTCTAATGAGGCCTTAGGACCTGATGTGGGAGCATGAATGTATTCATTGCACATTTGGGTCACCATTTATCTTGGTATACTTGCCAGATTTGATGTTCTTCATAAAAGTTTAGATGAAATGGAGCATGAAGTAGGGGAGGGGGGGTCCATGTGAACACAGACTGTTATCATTCACAAAACTGTCTTATTCTTAATGTTTTTGACATGCCCCATCCCATTATAACTTATCTCCTGGAAATTCTCAATATGTTACTGTTACCTGTGGTTGTGACTGAATTTTTGGGAGGGTGTGGCTTCCCTGGCATCAAGAAGTCATAATTTAAGCCCCATTTTTGAGTAAGTGCAACATATAAACATGAGAAGCATCTCATAGGCCAAGCTGTTCTCTGCCATCCTCAAGACAACTGGGGCAGATACCAGTTGGCAATATGCCCTTAATTTTCAAATCAGACAGTATTGGAGTAAAAAAAAATTTTTTTGAAAGCTATAAAGAACTATAGTACTATTAATTATTTTCTCCATAACTTTGTGAATTCCTCAGAAATAGGGGCAGAAATGTGTTTATGTCTTTTATTCCTAAAGGGCCTGACACACATGCATTGCATAAATGCTTTAAAAGAATCAAGAAGCATCCATATCTGTAACTTCCTTCAGTTGTGGCATTCTGTTCAAGGTTTATCTGCATGCTTTTTGACTTCTGTATATTTGTATACCATTTAGGGAAGTCTTAAGTATCGTAAGTATGCTTACTGAGAGAATTGATCCTTGGGAAATTATATTGATACATTTTTACTTTGTCATTCATTCAACAAATATTTATTAGGTCACACATAAATGTTCTGAACAAGATAAGATAAGGTTACTACTCATCTTGTGGAGCTTATAAATTTATACTGGGGGTGGTAGAGGGAAGCGGGATTTGGGAGACACACCATGAACAGTCATCACATGAACTGAGCAAGATAATGTTAGGCAGTGGTGCACATGAAGAAGACATGAAAGCAAGATGACATGTGATGGTGACAGGTGTGGGGGAAATGACACAATGGCCAGTTTAGATTGCATGATGAGAAATGGCTTCACCAAGGAGGTGACCTTCCCTTATGAAGAATCTCTCCCTGATAAATCCTTTAAATCAGATTTTATAAAAATAGATCTTTCTTAAACCTACTTTTTCCTAGTTTAATAGTTCCTTTCACTATGAGGTCAAAGAAACGCTGGAGTAAAAGACATCTCCTTCCTTAAATGTAGGAAAGATATTCCTAAGTATTAGGAAGCAACCAACACCTGTTTTGTCCAACTTGTGTTTTTGTCCAATGTTATCCAGCAGTTTATGGCAGAACTTTTAGAATACTTGTAATCACAACCTTCCTATGACAGGACCCTACCTGACTGTCTCTGTCCCTTTGTCCTTCTGTCCCTCCATGCATGTGCCCATCCATCCCTTTTTTTCTTTGCCAAAAAGCAACTCTAGAGGAGAGCAACTTAACAAATAAATTGCCATTTTATGTTTAAACACACACACACACACACACACACACACACACATACACAATAAAAGCTGTATTGAACAAATGAATCCAACCTTCTATCAGAGCAAAACCTGTTTAAAGCTCTGAATGCTTTAGAGCTCACCACAAGGTCTAGCTACTGAATGCAGCATTTGGGTAGGGATGAATGCTGGATTAAACTCCTCTGCAGTAGGTTGGTAGAACCACAGGAATGGCACACAGGTGGGACTTTCAGAGTTTATTTTCCAAGAGTTCCAAACAGTACTGCTCAGAAGGCTACCAGCAACACCTGTAGGTGATCAGACAGTGCAAGGTACAGCTGAAAATCCTGAAGAAAAGATTGGGAGTAGAAGGTAATGGAAAACAAAGGAAAAAGAAGCCAGAAGGGCCCATTGTGAGCTATGCCAAGACAGTTGTCTCAGGAAATATCTTAGGGGCCTGTGCAGAGATTGCCAACCTCAGCTATGTGTTGTGAAGCAGTATGCACTTAGAGAGATCATTACATTAATAAAATAATATACTAAAAAATGGACTAATGATTAATTGGTTTTAAATATTTGAATCAAATGCCTCGATTGTTATTTTAATTTTCAGATTGTCATGCTATTTGCGCTGATAGTGTCTATCATGGTTTCGCATCGTTTCTGTTGGTATCTGGAATGAAAAATGATTTTTCATGATAATTCATACATTTCTTTATTAAAAAATTTTTTTACAATGAATGATCCAATGTTACTTTTACATCAAGAATTTAAATAATCCTAACTCTTCTTCATTACAGAAGGACCCATAATCTATTTTATTAATAATTGAACTCCCAAACTTCCACAGTTTCAGATACAAAATACATATGTTAATAAATGAAATTATTGGGGTTCGGGTTTCCAGGAGCTTATACAGTTAAACAAAAAATGGAAAATGTGTCCTGAAGAGCAATGAAACTCCTAGTAGACTTACCAAGTTTCAGGAAAAGAAAATTATTTGTGATAAGTTATAATAAAAGTCCATGCTAACTGCCTTACAGAAATGGGGATAGAGTTAACTCACATAGGGTTAGGGTTTTAATTTTGTTCCCCTTGCCCCACAGCTCCTCTCGATGAAGAAGATTGTACATCAGTCACAGACCTGCCCAATTCCTTTGAAGGACAAGTTACCATAAGTAAGTATCTCTTCTCATCTTGATCAAGTTTTCCCACTCTTGGGAAAAGCATCGGTGTGTTTTCTTTTTGTTGTTGTTGTTGATACGGTGGTTACTTTAATAACACTGTGTCCGGCACAGAAAACCAGGTGTTGATGGTTCCATTTATATAACATTTCTAGAAAACTAAAACCCTAAAACACTCACACCTGTACACTTGAAATGAGTGAATTTCTAATTTGCAGATTATACTGGAAGCCATTTTTTATTTTTTTATTTTATTAAATTCTTTTATTGGTACATTGTAGGTATACACCACAATTACATTTCTCATTGGGAATTGTACCTTTACATGATGCATCTTGGTTCTTATTTTTTCCCCATTCCTAGCCCTGAAGGGTGGAGGGGGTGAAGGGAGGTGTGTTTTCTATAGTTTATATCTGAATAAAATGTTACTCATTTCCCTAAGGCTAGGGAAGGTTGACTATGATTCAGTGTTCCTTCTCCTTTTTCTATGTTGGCTTGAAACTGCCCTCTGCTTTTCTTTGATTCTTTGTTCCTCAAACTTAATCGTTTGAAAACTACTTTCCCATATTTTGGGCATAGCTGTGTACTACCTAGCACTATCACTTACTAGCTATATTTTGTCTTAATTGATCTATTCTCTTCTACTTAAAATAATTTATTTTGAAAAAGAAACTGCAAACAGGAAACCAACATTAGTTTTCCTAACCAGAAGTTACCCTTAAAATCAACTTAAATGTAAGAAAGAGTAAATACTGTTTTTCACTTGTAGTTGCTGAAGGCTGTGAGTCTAAGCTGTACTTTTTCTTCTAGAAAGTTAGTAGTGTCAGGGGTGGGGGCATTCTGGCTCCAAATGGGATTTGTTTTGTTTGCTATTACTGAATATTGAAAGATATCTGATGTGGAATTCAATAGCTCCCTCAAATCATCTTGGTTATCTGCAGAAGTATGAGATGGTAGTTTAGAAAACAGAAAATATCAACTAGGTCAGCCTGTTAATCCTGACCGTTTGCCTCTAATCATCATTTTGTTGGGCAGTAGCATAGTATTGAGGGGTCTGATTTCTGCATCCTCACAACCATACCCCAGCAAGATGGATGGATGTGGAGGTAATAGCAGTAAGGGCGTGAGAATTTTCCCAGACCACATGAATCCAGCCTCCCACTGTCAGGGAAGGAATTGTCCTTGCTCTGTGTCTTGCCATAGAAAGAGGAAGCTTCCGTTTCTATATTGGCTACCATGTGAAATGTGATGTACTAGTTGGGATTGTTTTGAAATCTTATTTCCTCACCACTTGTGTGATTATGAGTCTTGATCACACTGACTTTTAGAGGCATGACTTACTTTTGCTGAGCTTCAGTTTTCTCATATGCAAAATGGCACAGCATGTAAGAATTGTTGTGAAACTTAAGAAATAGTATGCCTGGCCCATAGTAGATGTTCAGTTAATGCCAAATTTCCTTGGTTCCCATAGATCTCTTTTAAAGGTCAGATTTAAGTCTGGTCAATGCTGTGATTTGAATATGTCCCCTAAAAATTTTTATGTCATATGTTTATGGATTTGAGTTGAGGCTTTGGGGCAGTAATTAAGATTAGATGGAATCAAGAGCCTCCATGATCCATTAGTAGCCTTATTAGAAGAGAGAGACCTGAGCTAACACACTTGCTGTGTCGTGTAACATGTCATGTGCTCTGCATATTATGAAATATCAAGAAGACCCTACCAGGTGCCAGAACCCTTCTCTTAGACTTTCTAGCCTAGCCTCCAGAGCTGTGAGCCAGGTAAACTTCTACTCTACACAGATGATCTGGTCTCAGGTATTTTTTGTTATAGCAACAGAAAATGGACTAAGATAGTCAGTCATGTTTCTATTTTAGATGTTCATCTGAAGAGATTATCAAGGTGTTGGTACTTGGGATTTTTAGTTGTGCTATACTACTAGTTCCATTTGAGCAAGCTTGGTAGGTGGGCAAAAAGAATCTCTAGTTTTGCCAGTGTAATTCAGCAGAAAATCATTTAAGCTATATGCACACATATAGTGAATGGCCCCAATTTGAAGGCAACAAATACTTTCAGGCAAGAGCAATGACTCAATTCATTTGTACTTTTTCTATTCTGGTCCATTCTAGTCACTTGCCTGTTTAAACCAAAGGTGTTGATCTTTATACACATCTGTGTTTACCAATCTTAAGGTTAAATTTTAGAGTATGGCAGAGGCTCTGTCAATATTTAGGCACCAATTTCCCAGCCAATGGGGGTTTGCTTAGCCAAAATTTGTTCCCAAGAAAGAAAATCTCTTTCCTCATGGATTAGAGATGTATTTTCCTTGTGTAGTTTATTAGTCTGCTATTTCAAATCCTTTATAGAAATGGACAAAATTAATAACAACAAATTTTACATATATTTCAGAAAGTAGAATCAGGATGACCAGGTGGGAGAATTATTATTTATTGAGCATCTGTTTATTTTGAATACTGTGCTGAACACTTTACTTGCCATATATCACATAAGCCCCATAACAACTTCATCCAGAAAGTAATATTATCCTTGCTTTACAAATGAGCAACTGAAGCTCACTAGGTTACCTGGTCTAGAGCTACCTGGAACTTAAATTCAAATGTGGGGGCTCCCCAGTACTTCATCTTTTGACTTCTAATTTCTAGGGTTTGAGGGGTGTCTTAAGTTACTTTCTCATTGCTGAAACATATACCCAACATCCACATGTTAATGGAGGAAAAGTTCATTTCAGTTCACAGTGTGTAGAGGTTTCAGTCCTTAGTTGGCTGGCTCCAAAGCAAGGGGCACAGCAGAGGAGAAACAACTCATGGTGTGGCAGGCATAAGGCAACAAGCAGCAAGCAGCAACAGCAAAGCCTTCCTTTCCCTTTTTATTCCATCCATGCTACAAGCCTTTTGGGTGGTGCCACTCTAACACAGGATGGGGTTTCCCATTATCCACACCCAGAAATATAATAAACCAATTAGTAGACTAATTCAGTATCACACACCCATAACCCCAGTATCACATCCTTAATCCACATTCAGACCCTAGATACAGCCACCTCCAAAAAGCCCTTCCTAGATGCACATGTAGCTTTGAGGGGGATATCTAGATACAAGCCATAACATGAGGGTAGAGGAGGGTCCTCTTTCTTCTTACATCAGCCACAGTATCTCACCACTAGGTAAATATGTAGTCTTCTTAATAAAAAGAATATAGCTTCAAAGTCACTATTTTGTATGCCATCCCATAGACTTCCCTATACTCAAAAACCATCAGCTGGAAAGTTCTGAAAATGTCTTTTCTTTCCCCCAAGGCATTGTCAATCGTGATGGCACCCGCTACACCAAGAAAGGAGAATACAGAACAAACCCAGAAGACATCAACCCCATCAACCCTTTGGATGAGGATGTGAGCAGTGGATCCTCCAGTGAAAGGAGCACTTTGGGAGGTTACAGCATCTTCCATACCCACCTTCCAACCACACACCCAACCTCTGATCTGGCGAACACCGGAGTCTATGGGAGTACCAGTAAGGAGTCTGAATCAGTGTCCTTTCTGATAGCAATTCTTTGGCAAAATATCTGTGATCTCCCTACATTATATGCACTCAAGAGTTGATTTTCTCTTGTCTCTAGACATCTAGACATGTGACATCATTTGGGGAGGTGGATTACTGTGTTTATCAGTGTGTTGTGTGTATTGACTAGTGTGGCCTACAATCTTTGTCCTCCATCTACAACTCTTGTTTTCTCACATTGGGATAAGATATGCCATACTGGAAGGTCTTTGTTTTGTTTTTTGTTTGTTTGTTTTTTAAAGAACCCATTTCCCTTTATTTTCTTATCCCTGGGAATATGGTGACACCTCAGACTTGATACAGGAACAATTTCTACTTTTGCTAATGTCTTTCTTCCACCATGGGTAACAGTGTTTTCAAAAACAGTGTTGGGATCATAGAGTATGCGTACTTTCCTGTAGGGTCTTTTTTATAGCTAATTTTGTATTTTCATGCTTTAATCTGGTTTACACTCAAGTTATTGATTGCATAATATTTTGTCATATTCATCAATGATGATTCACTAAACAATTCGTTTGCTTTGGGTCCAAGGGAAGTGCATTGAAGCAGTTTTCTGATCAGATCTATTAGCTTCAGAATTCTATACTCCAGTCTGCTGGGCAAGGTCCTTGATGCTTATCTGGTGTATGGGAACTGCAAGAATGGAACCATGTGAATGCTGCGTTAGGTGGCTTTGGGTTCATGCATCTAGGCTGCAGTTCCATCAGAATGGAAAGTGCTTACATCTCCCTCTCATCTCTTTCTTCACTTACCTCTCTGCATTTTCTTATGGTTTGTTTTAAAATAGGTTTCCAGATTGGCTGTGCTCTTTCTGTGGAGGATTCTTCAAACACAACTATGGCATCTGTATTTTGAGCAAATTTCTTAGTATGGTGTGGATATTCCCTTCTCCCGGCTTTGGCTCCTAAGGGGTGAAACTCTGGCCTCCAGACAGTGTGCCACAAATTGGTTTGTGAATACTTGAGGTGGGGCCCCTTCTCTCCCTTGTCACCCAGAAGCCAGGGAAACCTTCTCAGGACTCTGACTGAATCTTAGGTGACTTGCCAAATAGTGTTTTAAATTTGTTAGTGGCTTTCAGGAGGGTTAATATGAATAGGTTTGAGGTTCTGGTCATTCCTGAAAAATTCCTTGAAGCACTTCAAAAAGCAGATCTACCCCAACTGCCCATGCATTCCAGGCTGTGGCTCTCGAGATGGCAACACCTCAGGAGGGGTTTCTGTCAGCCAAGCAGGCTGTGCTGCTGGCTGCTCCCTGTTTCTTGGGTTGCCAGCCTTTTTTGTTTTCTTCAGCACAAGATATTGGTCCCAGGGGTCTTTGCACTAAGCTCCATTTCCAGCCCATTTTTGATTTTTTATTTTGAGACAAGGTCACACTAAGTCACTAAATTGCCCAGGCTTGGCTCGAACTCACAATCCTCCTGCCTCAGCCTCTAAGAGTGCTGGGATCACAGGTGTCTGCCACCATATCTCGTTTGCCTGCCTTTTTAACCTAACCATGTTGAAGACGCTTCTCATTACAGTACACAATTTTGTCAGATGTTGGAAAACACAGTAATTAATGATCTCTGTAGGATACAGAACAGGTATAACCTGTTCCCATTTCCTACCAAGGAAGAAAATCCTATCACAATGTGTCTTGTAGGAATTAGATGAAGTTAACATTCATGCTGCAGATAGCCTATATAAAAGCAGTGAGTGTCTCAAAAGAACAAAGAAAGTAATATTGAAGAGAAGTCAGGATGAGTGAGGGGTTTTTATTCAGTCAGCCAATATTTGTAGTTTTCTCTGTGTCAGATATTCTAGTAGTTACCGAGGTTCAGAGGGGTGAGCATATCCACAGATAAGACATCCTAGTTTAGTAATCAAAGAAAAGGAGTGTGCGAGACTTAACTAAAATATAGCTCAGGATTTGAGTTGAGCAAAGAATTTTACTTTCCTCCTTACAGAGAACTCTTAGCTAAGTTTCTTTTAACAGTTATAGTTAATGAAGAAAGAGACTTAATTTGCCCAGGGTGAGTCAGGGTTACTTCAAGAGTAATTGAAGTGCTTTAGGATTCAGTAAGGCAGCTCCAGAAGGATTAATTCATGCAAAATGAGTATCAAAAAAAGGAACCAAACTTGGGTTGGCTTACCCCAACTTGGAAAAAAAAATTAGAGTAGAATCATAAGGAGATTCCCAGGGCCTTATCACTGTTGGACTGAGAGTTGGGATGGAATGAGAGGGAGTGGTTGCAAATCCTCCCTAATGCATTCAGGAGAGTAGAGGTCAAGAGGAGGGCTGGCTGAGCATAGAGAAGAAGCTGGTCTTTGGCTTGATGGAATCACTCCTGTAAGTGTCCTTAGTGGGTGGTCGTAGGGAAAGCTGGTAAGAACAACTCTCTCCTGAAGGCCATTGATTGTAAATATTATTTTTGGAAGAGCTTTCCTGGAGGCATGTTATCAGGCCCTTCCTCGAACTCTCTGGAAAAAAAGGAAATCTAAACTAATTCAGGAAGCAGACTCTTGCCTTGGAAAGCTCTGTTTCCTTGTCTTCTGGGTGTCAAACTAATAATTTTTTGCTGGGGATCTGGCATGAAATAGTTGGGTAAAACAAATTGGGAGCTGGCTAAGCCGCAACTGTTTTTTTATTCTTCCCTCTTATGCAGGAGGACAGAGATAATACCTATTTCTATCTTGCTTGTGAATGCTTATTTCTTGTACTTTTTCCCCCGGTATACCCTACAGTGAGTGTGTTGGAAACTCTGCATCTTTAACAAAGTTTCTGAAACGAGAATGTGGTGCCTGTGGACAGTCCAGGGGGTGCTCGGGCTTACTGAGGGCTTCATGAGTGAAACTGGCTCCTATCTCTTTGCTCTCTTTCTGAACTAATATATTCTTTTAGAACTGCTCAGTGTTTGTTGTAGGGATTTGGTATGTGTAATTTTTAACTTGGCTTCATGGATTTTCCGTAGGTTCTATTAGGTAGTCAAGAATCACCTGAAATAATGCAGAAGATTTTGAGAGTGTTCATCTGTCAGGTCCTTTCTTTGAGAAGAGAGGCCAACATGTATCAGATTTTTCAAAAGGGCATGCGATTTTAAATGTTTTTTTAACATCCTAGCTGGGTTAAATATTTATCCTGATGATTTTTTGCCATTTTGCTTCTGTAGGGAAGCATTCTGGCCTTAACTCCAACATGAGAGTACAAGAGATTTTTAAATTACAAAGTGTTACTATTGACCTTTCTCTAATTTTTTTATTTTTTCTGGTACTAGGAATCCAAACTCAGGACCTTGTGCTTGCCAGGCAGGCATGGTACCACTGAGCTAAATCCCCAGCCCCAACCTTTCTCTAATTTGAATAGAGTTCGATATTTAACTTCGGCAGTTTTGTTTTATTTCTCAAAGTACATATTGAATTTGAATGAAACGTGACAAAGTGATAGATGGATACTTGAGAAAGCTTTTTTAAATTTTAACATTTTGAACACACACCCTTTGCCAAGTTCTTGCTCAAGTAGAAGGAGGAGCTGAGTTTAATGGGAATGGGTGGAACTTTAAAATACCAGTTGTTATTACTAGCTACCTGGGCACAATGCTAGACAGACCCAAAAGATGCAGGCAGGCCTTCCCAAGGGCACTCCAAAGATAAATGAATGGGAGCAATGTTATGTTATACTGCATCAAAGACCTTCAATTCATGGCTGAGTCACCCATTCAAGAAAAGAGCAAATCTCTTTCTATCACAATATTAAGTTGCTGCTTGATTGTGCTCTGATCATGATTTCTGGGGGTTCAATGTGAAGACCAAGAAGCTTTGGATTGATATCCACACATATTTGCATGGGTGTTGTTATCCTAAGATACCTGGGAGATATTAGGAGGCTGGAAAGATAAAACCAGACCTTGATTTATCTTTTCCAATCTTTATTATACATGCAGACAATTGAATATAGACTGAATAGAAAGTAAATGTTAAGAGGGAACCTCACTAAATGATATTTTCATAATTGATCCAGTTACCTCAAACAGCCACACAGCAGCTCAGGAGCAAAGTAATTGGATATGGTCCTGGTTTGGTAATTCACAGCCTCTGACTCAGAATCTCACGACAACAGTAACAACAAGTAAACTGTTATGTCTTTGCTTATCAGGTGTCCTGTATGCCAAGTCTTTTAGTGTTAAATAAAAAGATATCCATTATCACACTGCAGTTTCCCAGTGATGCCCTTTCAGCATCTAATAAAAGCATGGTTTGGTCCCATTTTGTTTATCACAGATGCCTGTGGATCTGGGAATATGACTGGATGCTCCTAATTGACCCCATTTCTTTTCTTTTTTGACAATGGTTTCATAGAATCAGTATTATTTTCCTTCAGAGGCTTTGACCAGGAGATTAATCCACAAAATGTCCTCTATTTCTAGCCTGTTAACAGAAGCCTATTAGCAGATGCGCACACCTAGTTTCTGCCGACTTAATTATATGCTCAGTAATAAAAGAGGGAAGTGCTAATTTACAGATGGAATGTTAGACCATGGACAGTTGTTTGGACACAATGCCTTTACCAGAAGATACTATAAATAAATGACCTGTTGCTCCACACCAGCATCTAGCTCAGTAACAAGTTCCTGGATATTTGACTGTTGTCTCTAGATTCCTGCAAAGTACTTTGACCTGGGAGCTTTGGGAAGAGAAAGAGGGAGATTCAATCTATAACAATTAGAGATTCCAACTATATCCTCGTTTTTTAATTTTGATGGAGAATATGGCCGTATTTCAAAATAAAAAGTCATGTTGCAGAAGGGGATAAATATGGAAAATGGTCTTTTAAATTGTTTATCTTATAAAACATGAGATATCCTTCATTTCTACAAATAATCATGTAAAGAATGATGTTATATTGTGGCTGCCATATCATAGATATTAAGATCATGTTAGGTGAAGGGGAGGGGAGAGAGATTTTAGAATAAAGGAAATGCTATTTTTTAAGTGTTTACAATGCTTATCTTCATAGAACAAATAATATGAAAGAAAAGATCTTACTGGTCATGTTTCTTCTTGCCTTTCTAAAAAAAGAAAAAAAGAAACTTCACCTTACTTTCTATGTGGAGATTTAATGATGGTTGATGGCTTCAGCCTCTCTGTCTGAACTTGTTCTCAGTTTTTAAAAATCTGTTATTACCTAATATTCTTCTGGGGCATATTATGGTGACAAAAACGGCAGTCTTTTCAAGTAAAGACTCTTGCTTCTGGTCTTATCAGTGTGATTATCAGGTCACTTCTTCTCTGCCTGTCTGTCTGGGTTTTGGGGGCAAGTTTGCTGCAGGATTGGGAGTCTATCTGGGAAAAGTGGAAAGGCATCTTCTTCAACAGACTTCGTGCGTCATTCTCTCTTGTGTTTTGGATTTCTGAGATCATATATCTGTGACTGCTGGAAAAAATATCATATCCTGAATTCTTGGAGAATGATATTGGTTGGCCAAGATACATTGTGTAGAAGATCAAGGGGCTAAGACTCTAAATAGCTGGATTTTAGAATCATAAATCCTCAGATATGGAGTGGATCTTAATTGGTCTAGTTCAATCAACACTTCTAATCATTTAATCTCTTACACAACTTTCCTGCCAAATGATCTCACTGATGGTGGGAAACATAATACTTCATAAAGAAGTTCATTGTTGTGTAGTTCAGATTATTGCTTTTTAAAATCTAATATTTGAAAGAGCATCCATCTCCCTGACAATATTCATAACAGGTCTTCACTTGGCCTTCTGGGAGATGAGAAAAAAATTCATTCCTTTTTTACATTATAGACTTTCAAATTTTAAAGGTAGCTCATGCTGTCCTTGAGACGTCTCTGTGGCTGATTAGCTTTCAGATTTTGGATATTAGAAGCTCTGTTCAGCATAATTTTTTCATCTTTTAAAATGAGGAGCATGAACCGCATGATGTTTTTGGTCCTTCCATCTCTGATATTTTATGAACTCAAGTTTGAGCCTCTAAAATAAATGGAACTTCTTTGCCTTCTCTCTTTCTTTCCACTGTCTATGTTGAATATCGATGATTTTCTTAAGTAGGAAAAGAGTGAAAGCGTATTCAATGCTGTTTCTTAGGAACTGCTAATTAACCTTTCCACAATCAATTCAATCATGGTTACAACAGCTTTGATGAGCACTAGTGGTGCAACTCTTGAAACAGCAACCAAGAGGCAAGAAACCCGGGACTGGTTTTCATGGTTGTTTCAACCATCAAATTCTGAGAGTTATCTTCACACAACAACAAAAATCGCTGCTAATAAGTTATGGCTATCTTATATGTTTTTTGATAGTCTTTAATAATTCTTATTAACCTATGGAATGCTGTTAGAGTCTAAAGTCCATCTCAGTTTCACAAATGTTTGTGATGATTTAAGTAGGATCATGGGCTCTAAGATCTATATGTTTAATATTGCAGTACTAATAGGCAGTTTTCATCTTTCTACTCCATGGGATTAAGATAGTCCAGGAGGAGCTACTACAGAAAATGAAAAAGGGGTAGGTTTTTCTTGATAATAAAACAAAACTTCAACTCTGAAAGAGTGCTTATGCATATTTTAAAATTACCAAAGTTGTAAAAGCTTCTGAATTTCTGAAGAGAAAATAAAATAGCATAGCTAGAGTTAATGAAATACAGAAAATCTCCATCAATTGAATTATTCTTGGGTACTAATAGTATGAAAAACAAAGGGTTATCCTGTAAGACAGTCTGAATCTCATTCAAAAGGTAGAAAATCCTTTTTTTGGTAAAAAGATATTTTCTGTAATAACCACCAAGAAGAGGTAGTTTCCATGTCCTTAATTATGACTGCATCCAAAAGAATGAGAAGTTGCTATGATCTGGACTGTAGTCCACTTTCATCAACCCTTCTTGACTAAAAAGGCCAGGAATAATTTCTCTAGTTGAATAGCTTTTTTTGTTTTGCGTTCTCTATTTAAAAGTATTGTTGGGAATTGGAGTGTTGCTTCCATTTGGATTTACAGCTACAGAGATCTTATGCAAGGTTTAAACAATGAATTAACACATTATGAATGGAACTGCAGCATTTCAAAAGTGATTGAAATGGGGTTACATTTCAAGATTTTTCTCAAAGTGTCCTGACTAAGCAAATAGGCACACGTGAAACTTTTCTATTCTATTCTTGATAGCCTGGTTTTGACAGAATATGTTAATGAGTTAATAAGAAATGCATCTGAAAGCATAAGGAAATTTCCATTGGCCTTGTTTTGTTTGTATGGCAGGGCTGGGTTCATATTTATTCCTTTAGCCTCCTTAAAGAGAATGTTCAATCATAAAGAACATAACCAATTGTTTTGAGGTCTGTGTATTAGCTTCATAGACAAGAACATAAGAAATTGGAGTAGACAAGTCAACTGTCTCACTTTCTTCTTAAAATCTTGGGAGCTGTTATACCTTCTCTGCCTATCTTCCTTTGACAAATGGGTTGCTTGGCATCCAGCTCAGCTACTAATGCAAGTCACTATAACAGGTACGGATTCAAATACCATGTCAAAAGGCTGGGCCCCCAGTGAAGAAAATGAAGAGGACATAGACATACACCTCAGTTTTTCTGGATCAGGCATTGATGATGATGAAGATTTTATCTCCAGTACCAGTAAGAATAACCAATTACAGTAGATTGTGTGCAGGGCTTACTGATTAATCTAAATGGTGCCTTTCTTAATGTGAAAAATGAGTGGACCTACAATTATACCTTAGTTATATCTTGATGAGATTGTGGAGGAAGAAATAAATTGTTTTTAATGAAAGCCAAAACATATTTAGAGGAGAAGTGGGGAAAATATGTCACAGAATTTTGAATGCTTTGTGGTATTTCTGTTTTGTTTATCAATGAAGTCTACTACTGTAGGTTCTCTTTAAATTATCAAGCTTTCCAGAGAATGGTATATTAAAACTGTATAACAAATATTCATTGTGTACCTGCTACACTAGGTGCTCAGTATACAAAGACAAATAAAGCCAGAGCTTTTGCCTTCAGGGAAAGAGCACATGAACTACTGGAGCAGTAAACTTGGAGAATGTGATTAGGAAGATATTAATTAAAAGTTGTAGATGATCCTAAATTTCTAGGGCTAAGAAGGTTCTTGAAAGGCTCAGAAAATGAAAGGTAGATTTCAAGAATTGTCTTAGTAAAGCCTAGTTAAAGTCAAAGGAACAAACCGAGGGTTTTATCAAACATGCTGGGTACCAGTAGAGCAGAAAAAAGGTGGAAAGGGTGAGTGACAATCCAGACTTAACAAGACAGTGCTAATTATGGAAAGCAAATGGTGAAAACACTACACAATAGTATACAAGTTTGTGAGAACAAAGAGCTGGAAATTGAACTGAAAATATTCTTTGAAAAATTTTAAAAGCATAAGAATTAGTCTAGTATTTTAATAAATGATTGTGTTTCCTACACTTAGGTATAATGACCTCATATTTTGCTAGACAAAGATGAGAACTCTGAAATTGACTCTTATCACAGCTCTGTTTTTCCTTAGAGCAAAGACTCTTAGGGTGCTATGTGAGCTCTCTCTTGGGTCAAAGAAGTTGTGTCTGTCTCACTGAAACCTGAGAGTTTAATTCCCAAATGACTATCACTCAGGATTGAAGAAATCAAAAAATTTAACTTAGTCCTTGAAGACATCTGAGTATATGGCTTGAGTATACGCAAGATGAACTTAAGTTTTTATATTAAAACTTTTAAGTGGTATATTCCTTAGGCTGAACACCTCTGTGGAGCTTAGTCTATATTGTGTTTAAGCACTGGAGCTGCACTATACTGTCTCCTGAGTTCAGGATGTGGCCCAGCCTTGCAGGTGGGCCCAACAGTAAAAACGAGGCCTTGAGAAATTAAACTCCCTTGGGTGGCAACCCCAAAAGATCAACCTGGAAATAAGCCACATGGCCAGGCTCTAGGGAAAAATTCCTCATGTTATTTTTTTGTCTCTGTGGTGTATTTTCCAGTTTTTCATGCTTATTGAGAATGTGGTTGGGGCCAGGGATTTAGCTCAGGGTGCCATGCCTGCCTTGCAAGCACAAGGTCCTGAGTTTGATCCCCAGTATGAGAGAGAGAGAGAGAGAGAGAGAGAGAGAGAGAGAGAGAGAGAATATGAATGTGGTCAGTGATTCCAATTTTGATTTTCTTAACTTGTGAAATAACTTTGCATTATTTGGGTATAAAATCAAAGTTTGAAAGAAGATTGATTTGCAAGTAGCTTTTCAGAAAAGATATTTGGCTCTGATTTTGTCATGATCCTTCTGTTAGTTGTGTCTCCTATTCTAGGCCTAATATTTTGGGTGACAGTATCAGAGTATTGGTGGATGTATACTTTCTTTATTTTCAGCATGCCGTTCTGATGGTGATTGGTTACTTCTGGCCTTTTCCTATTGAATGTATGCATCTTGTTTTTCTTTCAGGCTGTGAATGGCTTGCTGTTGATATATTTTGTATTTGATGAGAATACCATAGGTGTTTGATAAATATTCAGAAATATATCACTAAGCAACATGGCAATTCTAGGTAGATATTTTTTCTCAGAATCATCTAGAGGAAAGCTCTGGGTGCTCAGGATATTTCTATCCCTAGCAAAATTACTAACGAACAGTGATTGTTGTGGTATAACTTTCCATTATTAACCTCTTTGGGCTAAGGATCTACAGGCAGCACTCTAGCTAGTGGTCCAAATTTCTTTGGCTTTCAAGTGCTGAGGGCCACTGTAGTTTGCATGGATGGACAAAACTCTGGCGTCTTTCATGATCCTTGGTGGAGGGCTGGTGTTTTCAAAGCTGTTACTCCTGTTGCCCTAGCTTCCTCGACTGCTTTTCCCAGAAGATCTCATGTTCTGAACCCCAAGGTACTCTGTGACAGAATGTGAAGGACATTGAGATGCTTAACCATGTGGCTGAGCCAAGCTGAAGGCGCTCTCTGCTTTTCCTCTATTTCTACACAGCCATCTATACAACTTCGTATAGATGAGTCGTATAGCCTACAGAAGGAGAAATGTGCAAAACAACTGGAGAAGGCTCAAGAAATAACATTTTCCTAATTGCTTCAATCATCATTATCACAGTTTCAACCACTCCACGAGTTTCTGACCACACAAAACAGTTCCAGGATTGGATCCAATGGAAGCCAAGCCATTCAAACACAGAAGTACTACTTCAGACAACCACAAGGATGACTGGTAATGGCTTATGCACGTTTAATTAAAGAATATTTTTCCTTCAAAGCCCATGGTACTACAGTGGCCAATCATCAAGACACAGTGGGAAATTTATTTAATATCTCATCACAGATTCTTAGTAAACTCTTCATGAAGATATTTAGCTTCACCTAGGAATCATTTATCAATCAGGCCACCTGGGCACAAGCTATTTTGTGTTGCTTTGTTATAAAAATGAATGCATTGGAATGGTTTATGGTGCTGTCTCTGACAGAGTGGCTATGGTGGAATGTCATGCCTGTTCACAGAGAAATGTCATGCCTGTTCATTTTCTTTTGGGGACATTTTAGTAAAATCACTAAAATTTATTCAGTGTAGATGCTCAGAGATAGTGTTTAAGCATAGTGTATGCTTTCCTGGAAGAAAGAAATCATTAAAAGTTGCTTGATAAAAGTCACAGTGTATTTAACCATCATCACAACAGATGTAGACAGAAATGGCACCAGTGTTCATGGAGAAGACTGGACCCAGGATGCACAGCCTCCTGTCATTCACCATGAGCATCAGGACTCAGAGGAGACCCCACATTCTACGAGTACAAGTAAGAAGGATGACAGTCAGCAGTCATTTACATGTGTTAGTAAAGGCATTCCAGGGGCTAGGGAAGACATTGTTTAGACATTGGACACATCTTCTGTTTCTCCACAGTAATTTCTTTTATCTGTAGATCTTTTGTTTGTTTGTTTGTTTTATTTTTTGGGGCTTTTTTGGTACCAGGGATCGAACTCGGGTCCTTGCGCTTGTGCAGCAGGCAGCGAAACCACTGAGCTAAATCCCCGGCCCTATCTGTAGATCTTAAGGAGACAAATCAGCACACAATTTTTTAGAAATTGGAAGAAAAATGCTAACTTGTCAGGTTGCCCAAAAGGCCAGAGTGTTGAAAAAGTAGATCTGAGTTACAGTTTGTGTTCCAGATGCATAGAGGTTCTTTTGGGAGATTTGTATGTGTTTATGGAAATGTATGGAGGAGAGCATGCCCTTTGGGTGCTTGCTAATGGGATCTGGAAGGAAAGCTTATTAAGTGGAAGGATCTTTGGAATTCTTAACTTCTATGAAGATCTGTGATAAATCCAGTTTCTTTTTCACCTTCTGTTCATCACTCTGTTGTAGAATTTCATCCATTGTACTCTTGGAGCAGAGTCAGTAGCTGAAGTGGTCTATATTAGAATTCTACAGCTGACTTTTTTCTGTTTTCAAACCCAGGATAGCTTGAGGAAGCCTTTGGTGTTCTTACTGTTATTTCTGCTTATGCACAAACATATCATTTTCTAAAACAATCTTAAGTCTCGCCATTGGACTTGAGTGGTGAGGAGTATGACCAAAAATCAAAACCAAGAAAAAGTAAAAAGTACATATTCTTCTTTCAGATTTGTACCTCTGAGACATGCCTATCTTTTTGGGAATAAAGTAAGCTTTTATTTGAAAAATAGCCTCTAACATTTTAAAAGCTATGGTTCAACTGCTATTTTCATAGCTTTAAATGCTCCTAAAAAGAAAGGCTAAGAAACAGCTACCTAGAAGCCAAAGGAGTTTGGAATCTCTGGTTTGATTTATGTATTCAGACAACAGAAGAAAAGTTTAAGACATAAATTAATAAGTCCCAACCACTGTACTGGCCATGTCCAACAAACCTTACATCCCTTTACTTACTTCAATAGATTTGATACATGCATAAGAATTCTAGGTTAAGTTAACAAAGAAAAGGAATAGAGAGGAAGCAGAAATGTATATGCAGCAAGATTCAGTACCAGTCATCTTTGGGTTCTACCTGTGTATCTCAGAAATTATTCTCAAAAGCTTGTACCTAAGCAGAAAGCTATCTAAGAGGCTTGGAATTAATGAACCTAGTGTCAAACGAAGGTGGTTTGAGGGCATCACTCATAGAGGATAGTTGAGAAGCCAAATATAACAGAACTTGACAAAGGGAAAGCAGTAATAATGCTTGCAAAAAGTTAAAAGGATTCTGACGGGTGACTTCTAGGCTTTACCAAGTGGACATTACAACTTCTAAAAGAGAGTCAGTTTTCATATTCTGTAATGGAAATCTTACATTCCCCTAACCCATTCCTACTTGCACTGAAAACATCAGAGACTTACTGGGTCCTGAAAGGATCATTGTGTTTATAAAAGTAGTGATTGAAGGAGTGTAGAATTGTGTGTGTGTGTGTGTGTTTGCACACACACGCATGTACTGGCTTCTTTTTTCCTTTAAGCTTTGATTACTATGGCAGTCTGTGTTTGAATCAGTTTTTCCTTTTCTGTAATTACATGCAGGGTTTTTCTAACATCATTATTTGAGGAGTTGATTTAGTCAGTGGGAGATCAAATTTAAAATTCTGACTTTTTTCTCCCCTTGGATAACCAGTTAACCCCAGGGTTAGTTTGGCCAATGCAAAGGCAATGAGGAAATAAGTTTTATTTTAGAAAATATATTTGTTGTTATCAAATCACACGTCTCATTTCCTAAGATAATGAGATACAACCAATTTTATAAGCCACATAAAATAATTTCATTTGGCAAGCTTATAAGCATTCATTTTCTAGATGAACTAGAAACTTGCTATTAGTTTCTATAGATGAAAATGTTACAGGCTTTCTGACTTTTCCTGAGAGCAACCTGATGGAATTTTATTCCATTTATTTTGTTTCTTTTAAAGAAGGTGGATGGAGGTTTAAGCCTGTTTCACCTTGCTTTTGCATAAAAGCAAACTAGCTAGAATAGGCACTGGATTAGTTTTGTTAAGAAGCAATTTTAGATGTCACATAGACATAACCATGTAATGAGTCAGTGTAAAAACATCTTAGACATCCCAAAAGTTTTCATACTGGGAAAATAAATCACTGATACGCTTCAAATGTTTGTGACTATATATTATGTGACACATTTGAGAAGTTCTCCTACTATGCTGATATTGTCATAAGTTGTTTTAAAATATATTTCCTCCTCCAGAATCACTGGGGCAAAGAGATTATTCTTTGAACAAACAGTTCTCTGTGAGAGGATGTGTGAGGTCCTAGACTAAAGTAAAATGAGAATAATACTGGGCATTCATAGACTATAGTCTGTTCCTAACTTGGTGTCCAATCTATCTACATGATTATGACCGAAACAGACTTTCTTTGGGCCCTAGTTTTTCAGTCTAAAAGAATTAAAGGATTAGACCATTTAATTTCTAATATTACTTTCAGAATATCAGTGACCTATCTCTGGGTGGTCTTCCTTTTCTGCCTTCTCTCCCCACATGCCTGTGCCCTTAAAGTAGAAGGTAAGAGCTGTTGGTGGGGAAATTGGATAAGTGTGGCTCACAATTGACATTCTTCTCACAGCCTGGGCAGCTCCTAGTAGCACAACAGAAGAAACAGCTACCCAGAAGGAACAGTGGTTTGAGAGAGAATGGCATGGGGAATATCCCCAAACACCAAGAGAAGACTCTGATTCAACCACAGGGACAACTGGTAATGAATAGTTTCATAAGCAAATGTGGGTGGAACTTCCTTTGAGTTAAATGTGGGGCATTGAGGATGTTGAACAAAAGGACACTGAAAGAACTGTCATAAGATGTTAGATTTCTTAATAAGTCATGTTGTAGAGAACACAAAGCCAAATCTTAAACGCTCCTAACAAATCACCTGAACAGGAACAAATATAAAAGTACATAAGGACTATCCCCTTGAGTATGTCACTTCCATATCTAGTTTTGGACATCCACTGCAGAGACCCTGATCTTATAAAATACTTCCTTCTGTTCTGTAAAGGAACCCACTATCTAATGTGTGGTTAGGGTTAGGGTTAGGGTTGCAGTGTGGTTCTGGGAACTACTAGGCTTGTGAGAAAGAATTTTGTCAGAACTGTAGTACTTGAAAAATTGGATCCAGACATGAGAAAATTGACACCTGTCTGATGCCATTTGGCCTTTTGTTCATATCTGTTTGGTAATTTCTTCTTGAGTATACAATGTTTTTTTCTCAGATTTGTGGAATTGTAGAAATGGGACTCGAGACTTGTCATCATGTCTAAGTGATGCAAGCTCCTATGCATGATTCTTTTGTCTGTGTGGCTTAAGCATTGAGATCTGTCCTGCCTAGTAAGGAATGTTAATCTCACATTCTTACTTGGTATAAGTGGAAAGTTGTCCTCCTTTCCATTTTCATTATAAAATATAGTGCATAACATCCTTCCAGTGCATGGCAATTTCTAAATAAATCCCTAGTAAAGCAGTAGATTCAGTGAATGGCTATGTGGTGTGGTTGTTGCTGGATGATAGTACTATTATCTTTTCTATCTCTACTTCTGTACTGGCACAGAATGAAGCAAAGGTCATGAGCTACATTCTTTTGTCACTTATGCCATAAATCTCATTGTTAGAAGGTAATGCTTCTAGAAGATTTCATTCATGTTTTTGTGATGAATGGCATTTGCTTTCCTCTTTATTACTGGAGAAGCTGCTGCCTGAATCTTTCTCTAGATCCTTATGCATTTTATTGGGATTTGGTTGTCTTATGGTGACATCAGCACCTGGGCTCTTGCACTTCCTCCTTTAGGAACTGTGGCAGCATGGGTCAAGAACTACTTCTTCATCTTCCTTTGATGCCTATAATTCATCTTCTGTTCATGCAGAAGTTGAAAATGTTTTGTGTCCTCCAAGGCGCATGCTGATTGCCAAGAAAATTAGCATGAATGAACCAAACCTCCTAAAACATTCTGCATTTATGCAACTTCTTTTCTCTTTGTACCAGGAAGATAGTCTCATTGTCTTGTCCAGAGAATAAAAAAAAAAAATCAGTGTATCCCTAGCCAAATGTCATTTAACACTTTGACAAATGTTTGAACTGCATAGTCACGACAGTCTCAGCTCACAGCAGCCGTCCAAGTCAAAGAATGACAACACAGAGTCAAGAGGACATTTCCTGGACTGAGTTCTTCGACCCAATCTCACATCCAATGGGAAGAGGTCATCAGACAGAAAGAAGGATGGGTAATAGCCTCTGAGCATTTTTATGTATTATGTTTTTAACATTCACTGACTATTTTTTCCCCCAGAAATATCCCTTTCATTTTAGATGAATCTATTTTTCTAAAGATGTTCAGGTTTCATCACAAGTTAGTTTCTTCATAACAGCATGCCTTAGTTACTTTTCTCATTGCTTGGACAAAATAGCCAACACCCACAAGTTAAAGGAGGAAAATTTTATTTAGCTGACAGTTTGTAGAGGTTTCAGTCCATAGTCAGCTGGCTCCAAGGCAGGACAGCATGGCAGAGGAGAAACAGTTCATGGTGTGCCAGGCAGAAAGCAGCAAGTAGCAAACCTCCCTTTACCTTTTATCCCATCCAGGCTACAAGGTTTCTGGATGGTGCTACCCATACCCAAGGTAGGCCTTCCCATTATCCATACCCAGAACTATGCTAATACTAATCAGTGAACTAATTTAGTAGCACACACCCTTAATCCTACTATCACATGCCCTAGAACCAACCAGCTCCAAAAAGCCCCACCTATGAGGGCATGAGGCTTTGGTGGGACATCTAGTTACAAGCCGTAACAGACTGGTAACCAAATGAATATGAATTTCTAGGCTGAAAGTGAAGAATTTCATGGGAGGGTTAAAAAATAATTATTCCTAGGCTGCTAAGAGTAGAAGTCATTTCCTCTAAGGGAGGGGTATTCATGAGATTTCTTTTCTACTTCTACATGCAAGGTTTTCAAATAAACAAACTGATGGATTCAGTGGCTATTTCTACTACAGACTCAAAGATATTTGTCTTGTAAAGAAATCTGAGAGGTTAAAAAATTGGTGAGTAGTTATTCTAAACAAGTAACTAAAAGGCTCAGAAAACTTTATTATTTATTCTTGCCACATTTAGAGATTACATGGTAGGGGCCAGGGATTTAGCTCAGTGGTTCTGGTGCCTGCCTCACAAGTGCAAGATCTAGAGTTTGATCCCTGGTACAAAAAAAAATGCCTAGAGATTACATGTTACCTGGTAGTTTACTGTTGGCCCTCAATGAATGTTTTTGAATTTAATGGGTGGAAAATTTTTATAACAGATGAAATTTTTTTTTCTTAAATATTCTTTTATATTTTTTCATGAGAATTTCTAAAAGAGAAAGAAAGACACTAGTGGTAGTTCTGCGAGAATGGAAAATTGTGAATTTATTTGACCAATTTTTATATTCAGAAAAAAATTTTCCTTGGTTATGACAGATTACAGCTTACCTGAGAGAATATTCAAGAATAGATAGCATGTGGTACCTCTCCTGTATCTGTATCAAATAAGTAGAAGAATCAATATTTTTTACTATACCCATGAATAGAGTTAACTCAAGGTTTGTTTGGTTTTTTTTAGACAAGCTGTCCTGATTACAGAAATGTAACATTCCAAAAGAGTGATAAATCAAAAGTACCAAAATAGGGTGTGATTTTACAGTCACGAAATAAAATATATTTTCTGGATATAAATTGCCAAACATCTGTATCACATAAACTTCACTAAATGAGTTCTAAGAGCATAATGAGTATGTCCCTTGGTATTAACCAAGTACAAAATTATCTCTAAAATGAATCCAACAATTTCTATAGTTTCATTTTCTTAGAACACTCTATTTCTTCCCCAAATATTAGTGATCCAGATATCCCTTGAACTATAATCAGCATTAAATACCTGCTAATGTGAGAAGCATTATGGAAACAAAAGGGTGTATAATTCATGGTCATTTCTCTTAAGAACTTTAAAATTTAGCTGGCAAAAAAAAGAGTTGGAAGCAAAATAGATCTAACAATGTGAGACAATAAGTAATACCTGTGAAATGAATGTTGCCAACAATAAATACAAGAAATTCAAAGGAGACCATACCTTCCAGCTAGCATTAGAGAAAGATGGATTAAATCTTTTTTTTTTGTTACCGGGAATCGAACTCGGGACCTTGAGCTTGCGAGGCAGGTGGCAGAACCGCTGAGCTAAATCCCTGGCCCAAGATCTTATTTTTGAAAAACAAAAATCCCTGAGTAATCAGAGAAAGAAAGTGGGAGGAAGAATTTCTATGAAGGAGACTCACTTAAGGAGAACCATAAAGGAAAGGAAGTCAAAGCATGACTGTGTCAGAGTGAGTGGGCCCATTTGTCATAAATGAAGAGAGGTCTGACTGGCAAGGTTGAGGCTGCTACACTGAGTTATTAAAGTGCCATATGCAGATCCAGTCCACATTTTTTATGCAAATGGATTCTGGAGGCTCTGATGACATTCGTGGTGGAATACCAAGCCAGTAAAAGATCCTCAGAATCAATATTAAATCTCCATACTGAGGGAAGAGATTCCTCTACATGGATAAGCATGTCAAAGAAAACATAGTTGGCTTCAACTCTGGAGTCGTGTGAGGTCTCTTAAAAGATTCTACACATAGGGCTGGGGATTTCGCTCAGTGGTTCCACCGCCTGCCTTGCAAGTGCAAGGTCCTGAGTTCAATTCCTGGTACCAAAAAAAAAAAAAGAAAGATTCTACACATAAGAGGGAACTGAACCAGAGTGGCTGGACAGGCAGGGCTTTTTCTGGCAGACTATCCATTTGAAATTTTGGTTTGGATTAGCTGACCTTTCCTCTTCTTTGATATCTGGGATAGCAGAGGTGGCCACACATTTTTGACCTACGTAGATCTTGATCATCTTTTTTGTTAGCACATAAGGGCTGCAGTGCAGATGTGGGTGCCCAGGAGTCCAGTGCTTTTCTCTGGAGTCATTTGGAACTGATTAAATCTTCCCAGAGGTACTATTGTGGATGGACTGACTAAAGTGGAGAGCCAGCAATATTGATGGCATTTATGGATTGTTTGGCCTCTGTTTCACTTAGGACTTGTTATTTCAGCAGAATAGATCTGTGATGACCATTAAAATTTCTGCACCACTCAACATTTTGTGCACAGTAAATTCCAAACTCAGCTCATACTTGTGTTTAGGGGGAAAATGATTGCTTGACACCCATTGCTTCTTATTTCTCCCCCGTGTACTCCCTATGGTCTCTGCCTAGATAACACAGTATGAGGATTTTATGTCTTTATCTGTATGCTCGCTTTGTGAAGAAAAAAAGGACTAAATGAAGGCAGAAGGCTGTTATAAAAGTTATTCGCCCAATAAGCAGGAAGTCGCAAAACAGTGCCTGAACAGTGCATTTTGGCTTTTCTCCATGTGTCAGATTGTGTGAGTCGCTAAGAAAGGCTATGTGTATGGAATGGGACAAAGTCACACATGGGTTATGTTTCTGTCTCGGCAAGGTTTTGGAGTCTCATTATATGTTCATGTGTAGTGCTTCTACACCCAGTGCAAACAAACAAAATCATAGCTTTCGTACAATTCAGTCCTTAAATGAAAGCCAGCTACTTCTTGGGACACTCTTGAAGAAACAATACTTTATCTTAATTCTAAAGACGTGAATCAATATATATTTTCTTTCCTCTTACCAGGTTCAAATATAAAAATAACTTGGCTACAGAATATAAATGGCCCTCAGGTGGTGGTTTAGGAAAGAAAGCAATAACACTGATTTAATTCCTTCAGATGTGGACACCAGTCATAGTGCATCAGTTCAGCCTACTGCAGATCCAAACACAGATTTGGTGGAAGACTTGGACAGGACAAGACCTCTTTCAGTGACAACTCGTAAGGATAATGACACTGAGTCCTTTGTCAACCTAGCCCCCTGCTTCAGCTCCTGTTCATTTGGCCAAGATGCTGGCCAAGCTGGTGGTGGGAATGGTGCATTGTTTGCTATGTGGCTTGGTTCAGCCCAGGGTGTTAAGCTGTCTTCATTGTCTGTATTTCTTGTGAGGTTCTTTATATCTGATTTTACCTTCATTCTTGGTGCCTCCAGATCCAATGACTTTATGTTAAGAATAAATAAAAAGGCTGTAGAACTCCACTCAATTTGATTTTCCTTCTCTAAGTGGTCATGTCAGTGCCATCGAAGACCACAGCTAGGACAGTGGTTCTTTGGGTTTTAACTGGTCATCTCATTTTTACTTCCACCCTTCCTCCAGTCAAGGCAGAAGAGGGATTGCTTTTCTGATAGTGAAAGGGCATTTGGGTGCCAGATAATCATACAGTAGCGAAATCACATTAGCCCACAAAGGAAGGGCAAAGTGTAGTGTTGAAAATTGACAGAGCTGGCACGTTTCTTGGAATAAAAAAGGAATATTTGCTAATATCTCTATCACTAAACATCTAGTAGGAAAGGATATTACATTTCTGGTAGCCTTAATTGCCACCGTATGTTCAGCAATAATCTAGAGATCAGTCTAAAATCATTCATAATTTCTTGGCAGAATATGAAAGAAATCCAGAATTAAGAGGGCCGCATTTCACTGCAAATAATGGGCAGAGCCCTGTATATGAGCCCTCTAGGCAAAGGAAAAAATCAGCAGGCGTGTGTTGATTGTCAGCAGTGTAAATGAGCACAATGTTAAGCATCAAAGGAGCTGTAATAAACCTATGAATGGCCTCTGCTAATGAAGGACTTGTATTTCCATTTTATATTACTATTAGTTTTTATTCAGATGTTGGATTTGGGATTTGGTGAATGTCTGAATCTTGGTTTCGATATTTATTTGGTGATGGGCATGGCTTATAGTTTGTGTTTTATGGAACACTTGCACCTGGAACTTGGCAATAAGCACCATTCTTACAAGAATTAAAAGGAAATAAACTCAAAACAGCCAAAGTGCTTTCAGATCTGGGCAGTAGTTCAGCCTCAAATGTATACAAATCACTGAAGCCTCTGTGTTTGCGCAGGCAAGCATTTCCTTGGTGTGGTGATGAGAATCCCTGTGCACAGATGAGGTCAAAAGCCTAATAATAGAGTAAAATTGTTAGGTTAATTTAATGATCTTTAGAAGGGAGTTATGAATTTCCTTGTGCAAATTTGATTTGAGTTCCTTGAGCAAATTAACCCAATGGGCTTCTTTCTCTTTTGTAGATACACTATGTAGTGTTGTTTCTGTACAGTCACACTTCTTGAACAGTAGTTAGATGTTCCTGATTGTTGATAGGAGCACTGAAATTCAAACGTTCCTTTTCCACATCTCTGCATTCTCTGGTTCTTCTGAGTTCCCAGGAGCAATGCTACCATGTGGGATGATCCAGGGTGGGGAAAATTTGGACTCAGTCTTCACCTTGCAGCCTTACCTTTATTCCTTATACTGAAAGACAAAGGGGCCAACAATTGTCAAAATAGAATTCTGATGTTTCTTTCAATCAAAGGACAGTGTTGTGCACAAATCTCCTTCTCACTATGTACCTATCCCTTTGAATAGTATAGGTAGATCCTCCCTATTAGCAGATGACAGAGGACCTGAATCATGGTTCCAAATTAACACTGGATTCATCCCTCATTAAAGCAGAGCAGAGCGATTCTCAGAGCTTCTCTACCTCACATGGAGAATTGGAAGAAGATAAAGACCATCCAACAACTTCTACTCTGACATCTGGCAGTAAGGATTATAGAACCCAGTTGGCTTCAGCTGTTGATAAAAATCAATCTCTCATGGGTGCTCTTGCAGTGTCTTTGGTGGAGGTACATGTACTGGCTGTTATTGATACTGTTCCTTTTCACCAAAAGGTGCATATGGTGGTGGTCTCTGATTTTTCTGCTTTGTAGACCTCTTAGAAGACCTCTTAGAAGACCATTAAGCATGAACTGTATTGCTCGTCTTAAAAGTCAGATTTCTTTAATGCTATGGTTAGTGATTTGGTTAAAATGATACATTGCTTCTATAAGATATACAATTGGTGCAAAATTCTGATTATATAACTCATATTACTTCCATTAATAATATTATTGTACCATTTTTCCTCTGGAGCATAACTCTACAGTGCTGGTGACTAGGAAGCAGTGCCTATCTGGCATAGGAAACAATAATTAAGTTGGAAGCCTTGAGTTTTTTAAATCATTCATTTGCTATTGCAGTTGCAGGTAGCATAATTTTACCCTTCAATTCAATGGTATGTTTCCTCCACTCCACCAAAGGTGGATCCAATTGAGAGAGACCTCATAGTTATCTAGTACCTGAGTTGACTTCAAGGTTACAGTTGTGATGACATAAGTCTTACCTTAGTAACTCGGGCAAATGTTGCAAAAATGCTTCTTGTGGGTATTAGGATCACCAAAATCTCTTCTGTTGAGCAATGTTCAGATGGTGTCTATTGCAAAATACTGATTTTGTTTAATAGTGTGGCAAACTCTGTCTTTTGTTTTTGCTCTTGGAACTTTTGAAACTATTGGAACTATTGAAAAGCTTTTGCAGCCATTGCATATTCTGAAGATGGGTAGGTGGTGAGTGGTGATATTACAGATGTGGGTTTGTCACTGACTCCACCTCCACACAGATAGAGATCCTGCCAAAGGGGGCAGAAGAGGTGCAAATCTTCCTGAAGACTCAACTACTTCACTGGAAGGTTATACCCCTCATTACCCAGAAACAAAAGAAAACAGGACCCTCATCCCAGTGACCCCTGCTAATACTGGGGCCATTGGAGAAACTGAAGTTACTGTTGTTGAAGAGCCTAACTCTGATGTTGATCACTCCTTACCAGGTAATTGGACCATTTATTATCTGGTTTACTTTCTCTAGAGAGAGAAACAACATATACTTCCCTATTACAGAATTAGTTTCTATATAGACTGTGATTAGGCCTCTTTGTGACATGGGAAAGGTTTTCATCGCTTGTTATCAATTCTGGTGCCAGGAAATTTGGAATTACTTGAGGTAAAATAATGTTTCCATTTATTAATATATTTTCCATTTATTTTTGTGAGTTGGCTGTTATGGTAGAATTTCTTATTCTATTCCTCACCTTGTGATGTATCAAGGTGAGCCATATGAAAATAATATTCTTATGGATCAAAATAATTGTATGTTAGCAATTTCATTGGATTCAATTAATAAATCCTGCTTATTTAGTAAAGTTTCACTCAACATAAGAATCTTTGTTCTTAATTTTTTATTTTTGGTAATGGATTAATCAATTTTACTTTTGGTGATGGGTTGGTGAATAAACCTCTTTAGTTATGATGCATTTAAAACTTCATTTTTAAATCTAATATTAACAATAGGAACTACTTCTTGTTGTTGTTGGTTTTTTTTTTTTTTTTTTTTTTTGGTACCAGGGATCAAACTCGGGTCCTTGCATTTGCGAGGCAGGTGGAGGAACCACTAAGCTAAATCCCCGGCCCAGGAACCACTTCTTTTATTGTAATGGTAAAGAGATGGTTTATTCCATGAAGTTTGACAGGGACCCAGAATAAGACTGCTCAAATAACCAGTCCTCTCTGCTGGGTTTTTTCTTCCTCCGTTTGCATTAAGAAACTGATACTGAAAAAAGAAGAACTGGCTAAGAAACTAAAAACTGATTTCTCTCCTCTAGTACCAATTGTTCAAGTGCTTCTAACTATTCAATCATTAACACATATTGTGTTTATAGTAGAGATCCCCCTCCCCCCAAAAGAAAAAATATATCGTAAGAGAATCCTGTATGTAAAACAGAGAGCAATTGCAATGTTCTGAGTAAGGTAGGACAAGAAAATCCAGGATGTCACATGCTTGGTGTTGTTCCTTTGGACTGCCCACTTTAGGGCTTCAAAGAAAATGGTTTAAAAAATACTGACATCAGCAGTACTGGAAAGACAAAGCCCCTTTATATTACTTAGTGTTTTGTGAAGCATAATCCTGCTCTCCCTTATTAAAAACTCTAAGTACCATTGTCAGTTTTCTTCTGGAGGAGTGAATCTTACAGTTCAGTCTAGTTTCTCTTGGCAAAGCAAGGCCTGTTGTACAACCTAATGTATTTAAATATTCAATGGCAATTTTAATAATCCTAGAAGGCTCATAAAGCCTAGTTGTTAGCAAATAAAATTCTTTCTACCAAATTGGTATTTCTTCTATATTTGCATATGAAGTCATGATATAGATGGATTTTTCATGGTTCTCCATGGATTCAATAATTAGTAAGACATTCCCTTCTCTTCTTAAATTTCCTTCCAAAACACTCATATATGTATATTTCTGCCTATACCTTTTTTCAATCTTTATGCTCATTAATATTAAGAACTAAAGCATTTGTGATCGTGGTGGCAGTGGTGGTGCTGGGTTTAGTGATGGTGATTTTGATCATGGAACTATCAACGTGGCATTCTTGTTCGTGCTGTTTTCTGTTATTCTAACCTTCAGCCCAGGAACAAAGCAATCTGTGTCTTTAATGTAATGAGGAGAGTGATTACAAGTGACCCATCTCCATCTTTCCTAATCAAGGAAATGGTAATGATCAAGCTACTCTATATTCCTTATATGCATTTTCAGAATCAGTAACTACATCCAGTTTGTGAAACTGCTGAACTCTGTGTGTGTGAGTTTAAAGATTCCAGTATGCTTTAAAATTGTTGAGGGTTTGGGGAGGAGTCAGGGAATTTCCATATGTCAAATCTAAATTTTTAATTATGGATTTAGATTTTAGCAACTCATGAGTTTTTCTCTATCTAAAAGCCTTCCTGTAATGGATATTTGAGATTATATTAATTACTGATGTCCAACATATGGCTTAATTTTCAAAAAATATTATCTGGACCTTGTTCTAATACCCAGGAACAAATTTTCTACATGTTATCCTCTTATCATCTCTTTTTTCGCTTTACTTTAAATAAGTCTCTGGATTTTCTTTTTGAATCTTTACGTCATTCAAACCCGGTATTGCTTAAATACAGTCCAATTTTGTGGCTCAGAGAAATCTCTGTAAAAATCTCATCCCCTGAGCCAGAGTACAATTTTCCAGTGATCACACACCTCAGTCTAATTCTTATAGTCCTTATTTAACATCCACATTGCCTAGTTTCAGCCTCAGACCTGCGAATCCATCATAATATTTTAGTGTAAGTGTCTCACACCACTGTTCTTGAATTCCTACCAAAATCACACGTTCTATGGTGTGGTTTTAAATGGCCTGTGCTGCCTCCGTTTCCTTAATTTTGACAGAGTCTGTAGCCCACTCATCAGTGAGCTAAACAAAGAGTGGTAATTCATGTTATGAATCCAGTCAAGACTCTTTTCACATCATTTCTTGGTTACCTTTAAAAGACTAAGCTTCTTAATGGACTTGTGAAAATACAGCATAAGGAAATGCAGCTTGCAGAGTGAGCAGAGACCCAGGACTAACTTCCCTTCATTGGCCATTACAGGAGATCAAGACACGTTCATAGACCCCAACGAACGCTCCCATACTACTAGTGATTCGAAATCTGATGGTGAGTTTGAAATTGCTTTAGTCATTTACTGCTAAAATCATTCAACTTGATGATTACTAATAAAGTATGAGTCAGTGTCTCTAGAGGAGGGAATGATACTCTCTTAGCAGGCATTACAATCACAGAGAGGACTTATTAAATCACATTTCTGGTCCTCACCCTGAAAAGGTTTTGAATCGGTTGGTGTAGGGAAGAGCCCAAGCATTTATATTTCTAATAAATTCCCTGGTAATGCTGATACTTCTGGGACTTCGGTGACTACTGCTCTGGAGAAAAGTCTTTCATCTGAAAGGATCAGGAAGAATCCAAGTAGGGTCCCAATTTAACATTGCCCTGTGCCAGAGTGACCGTGAGCATGGGTCTTGAAATAAGAATAGCTTGTGTTTGATCTCAGTTCCTCTACATAGTAAAGGAGCAAGATGCTTAAAGGGCCTGAGGTTCAATTTCCTAATGAAGTTTGGATAATAATTGTCAGAGGGCATTGTTTCAAAGTCTAAATGATAGAATACATGTAAAGCCCTTAGCACAATCTCTGGTACGTAGCACAGTAACAAGCATTTGAGAATTTACTATGTGAATGTAAGTAACATTATCCAAAACACTTTACCTGCATTAGGTTAGACCATATTAAACTGATATTTCTGTAGTCCAAGGATAGCCACTCTCAGCAAATTTAGAGTTCATCTGATAATAACGGATTTAATTATCCTAGAGACCCCATGATGTACATAATACTCTTATTGTCCCCATATCACAGATGAGGAAACTAAATCCTGGATAAAGTAAGTAACTTTGCCAAGTTGATATACTAGTGAGCCAGGTTTAAACCCAGGGTCTCCTGTTGCCCTTCATAAGCTCTCCATTGCTAGAGAAAGCACCATAGTGACTAACTACTGCCAGGCATGCATTATTAAATCGATTCCTGTTTGCTCTGACTCAGATCACGCCCCCTGAAAATGTTACTTCAGACAGCAAAGTCTGACATGAGGTTTACTTCTGACCTTTTAGTCCTGGGGCTATTGAGAGGTTCTGCTATTCCCACCTACTGTGATCTCCCAAGCATCACAAAAAGCAAGTGACTCATATCCGTATAAGTTATCACCCTTCCCTGCATGCCCAAGTTGGAGCAAAGGTTGCTTCCAGGTTTAAAGCTAATCTGAAGAAGGATATTTACATGATGGCTACAATAATAACCCTTTATGTTTCTACCCTGGGACATAGGGTTTATTAGAAATGCTTCTGAAGTACAGGCAGTAGTCTGAGACTCACTGGGGTCCTTGGATAGGGTACTTAATGTTCCATCCTCAGTTTCCTTATCAGTAAAGAAGATCAGATCATCTATTTCAGTTACCTCCTGGAGTGTTTTTGAGGAGCACAAGGTATCAGGAATGGGAAAGTATTTGGGAACAGTAGGAAGTTATTATTAAGAGCCATGCTCTCTAAAGCCAACAGACCCCAGCTACTCTACGTATGGTCCTTGGACCAGCAATAGAGACATTACTTAGGAGCTTGTTGGAAATGGAGAATCTCTGGCCAATTGTGGGGACATTGCATCAGTATCTGCATTTTAACCAAGTTCCTCCTCCCAGGTGGTTTGTGCACATGTTAAAATTTAAGAAGCTCTATCTTCCACTGTCTTTCTCATAGTTGAAGCCAGTTGAATGATCACTGTTCGCACTTATCAGGTTGGGTCTCATCTTCCAACCAGAGTGCTCAGTCTCCTGGTTTGCAGAACTTGCTCTCCTGGTTGGTTCTACCCTGGTTGGATTAGTGGATCTTTAGGGCACAAGAGAAGCCTGCTGTATCTTGCCTATGCTCTTTGGTTTTTGCTTGAAATGAGAATCGGGTGGGCAGGCCCTCATCTCTTTTGTTTGGCTCCCATGCAGGTGTATATTGTTCAAACAAGAAGTTTCATTTTGTTGTGCACACATCCAGATCTTTACTTGCTTGGAGCCCTTTTTTTGAAAATCAAAATAAAGAGATATGATCTATTAATGGCCTGTCTTTTGAATATCAAAGGCTGCTATGAGTCAGAAAAAAAGATCAGCAAAGATGATGGTACCTTTTAGGTGGTTTCCAAAACCAAAGATCTCCAGTTTAGTTGGCCAGTATCTCAGGTGAAAACCTTCCAATGGCCAAACACAGTGGGAACAGGTAGGCAAAATGCCTTGGAGGCCTTTGAGGTTGTGAAATAAAAGGTCACTGTCAAAATGAGAGGGTGTATGCTGAAACAGCCAGACATCTGGTAAGAATTTGTTTTGCTCCATTTTAAGTTTTAACAAAAACTTCAAATTGTTGAGCCCTCCTACCCCCAAATAACCATTGCAATCAAGATTTTAGTGTCTGTTCTACAGAGTCCAAAGTTTGAATATCTAAGCCTACCATTGTCATCCACCAATTAGCCAAACAGACTTCCCTAGGTTTTTCTCCCATTGGTGGCCTGAAGGATACTACAGCATGTCCCCATTTGCTATGAGATAAAAAGCTCATTTTAGTGGAACATTTTCAACTTTTACTCTCAACTAGTGGATGAAACATATAAAAACAAAACAAAACAAAACAAAATAACCATGAAGCTTTAGTTTTAGGTAAGCCTCTTAGCAAGATGTCTTAGATGTTTCTTTTAAAACTTGATGCCTTCCTCATTTTGAGAAGCCACCTGTGGTTTTGACTTGTAGAGCATCTGTTTTGCAATGCTTCCTCCCAACTTGGGTGGTTTCTTTGGTTCATTTCCTTATTTTGTTATTTATTGGTAGAAAAGTGTTCATTTTTCTAACAAAAGTCAGACATTCACTAGTGAGTTAGCAGGGACTCTAATAAGTTGATTTTTCATTGAAAGTAAAGGCCATTGCCCCCAAACCTATATTTCTCGGTGTTCATATTTACTTCTGTGATGATAGTGGATGTGATTTTTGGGCTCACTTTGGGTTTTCTGGCACATCTGAATCCCCTGGGGAATCTCATGAAGATGAAGATACTGATTCAGTAGGTCTGGAATAAAGCCTGAGATTCTGTATTCCCAGCAAGCCCTCAAGCAATGGTTCTGGTACTGGTTTAGATGGTCACACTTTGGGAAGCAAGGTCCTACATTAAACATAGGAAATAACAACTACATACAGTTACCATGTTTGTGCACTTCTTTCTTTGAACCTCTGTAAAATGCTGATGAAGTGCAGTATCTTACTATCTCTATATTATAAGAGAGAAAACCTAGACTTGTCAAAGACAACCTTACCTAGCACAAGTTACTAGCAAGAGGCAGAGGTAGAGCTCGAACCCATGACTTTCGAGCTCTAGAAACAAGTCTTAGTACTGCACAAACCACTGCTCCTGAGATTTTCATGTTCCCACATACATATAACACATCTAAGCCTTAGCCTTAATTGCACTGACCTTTTAGGGGTGCTAATCTTTTGCACAATACTTTATAGATGTCTGTGGCTGCAATATATAAATAGCTTCTTGGTGATGTAGATCTTGGAGGTTGGAACTCCTAGCAGTGCATTCCAAACTTGGGAGGAGACAACTTTTTGCTTATCTCCTTAGGACACTCAAGTGGGACTCGAGCTGGAGCAAGCACACCCTCTCCTCCTCAAAGGAGACCCCAAATTCCAGGTGAGTTTCAAACTGTACAGGAGGAAAAACATGGTTAAAGCAAGTTTCTCAAAATGTCCCAGGAAGGAAGAAGAGACCTAATCAAGTGTACATACTCCTAATTGCCCAATCCTTGAACCTGTTGGTTTCTCTTTGCAAGTTGAAGGATGCATGAGAGTACTCTAACCTCTTGCCAAGAAAGGGTAGAACATTTCTTTTCCTTGGTCCCCTGGGCTCCATAGAGGAACTGAACTTACGTTCAAACCTGTCCCTGGCCTGTCACAGGGAAGTATCCCTTTAGTTACCAAAGCTTCCTTCCCGAGAGAGTAATCATGCCCAGGGCTCCGTGTCATACTCAAGTCCTTTCTTTCCCTGCCCAGTTTCCCCTTTATTACTGGGGCCAAAGCAAAGCATGTAATTTTCACATTGCAGACAGAGGGGATAAAAGAGCAATCTGGGTTGGATGGAGTGAAATCGTTGTTCTGGTTCCCAAACTAGTTTTTCTTGAGAGGCAGTCCACTGATCAGGCTGGAAGAAAATTTTCAGAAAATAGTATTACAAACTATACAGTGAGGCATCTGGAACACCTGGCTATCCTGGACATCGATCTTTAAGGCATCTGGTGCAAATTGTTCTTTGGGGTTGGGGTCAAAATCAAACATTTGTAAAGGGAGATTGCAAAAAGGAAGGCATACCCTAATATTAGTTCTCCTGTCCTCTGAAGTCTCCAAACTGAGCCTCCTTGGGGAGAGGGAAGAATATGGGATATGTGATGCTCCTTTGCTTTGGCTTGCCCAAGCACACCTGAAGGCAGAGCATGTGGAGAGAGAGAGGGAAGGACAAGAGCAACACAGCAGCAGTCAGGCATAGGGTTCTTCCTGTCCTAGTAGGGTGAGTGTTTGACATCTCAGAGCTGGAGACCAGGCCAGGATTGGGGGGAAGAAGAACAGAAATGGTACCTGGCTTCCTGTCATCCTCCTTGAGGTGAGCCAAAAGTGGAAATGGGAGGAAACCAAGACTTGCAAAGAGAAGTGGACAGTGAATGACTTCTCACCTTTCTTCTTTCTCAAGTCTTTTTTTTTTTTTTGTAAAATCTCGTTACTTTATTAAAATGTTGGCAGTGAACTAAAATAATTTTATACACTAATGGGCCAATGCCTGGGGGCCAAATCTGGACCCCTGGGGCCACCAGTTTGCAAGTTCTGGTGTAGAGGATAAAATGCAGCTTCTCTACCAAGGCTTCTCGTCATCTGCAGAAATAGCCTCCAAGTTCCATGCATGGCTACCCACATCCTCAGACACTCACGAGCCCTGTGTTTGGCTATTATCTCTGATTCCCAGATCCGCTGCTTTTTTCATGCCCATGGGCCCTTTTCCCACTATGGAGGATAACAAACTCCTACTCACACGGAAAAACCCAACTAAAAGAAACCTTTGTGAGTCTTTCCTTTACATTTCAGGCAAATATAATCCCTCCTTCCTCAGAAACTTCATAGGACTAGGCACAGGTGTTTGTTTTTCTGTTTTCTAAGCCCCTCTCAGGGTTTTCCAAGAAAAGACACTCAGTAGATGGGTAGAAGGACAATAAATCACAGAGGATAGGAGTTCAGGATGTGGACACATGTCTGTCCCTGACTTTCTTCACCTGTGAAGTAGAATTAAAAGAGTTTATGCAGTGAAACGTGTTTTTGAGGCTGACAAAGCAGTCAGCTCACAATCGTAAGATCAAAGGGAGGGGGAGATTCTCCCCAGAACATAGAGACCTTCCCTAATGGCAACACATGTCCACACTACGTGGAGCCAGGGTCCTGAACTCACTCCACGGTGGAACCTGAATCCCAGGTAGACAAGACCCAGGCAGGAGTCCGGCCCCTCTCTTGATACTGAACCACACAGTCCTTGTCTCAGACCCCTCCCCACTTCCCTACCCCAAAGCAGTATTTCAGTAGCTTTACACAATTTTCTTTTTAAATTCCAGGATTCTATGTTCTATGAACAGCACAAAAGATCCAAACTTAGGCATTTTAACAGTTCTAAACTTTGATATCTAATCTCTGATTTGATTTTTATAACAGTCCCCTGAAATAATTAGGGCAGACTTTTTTTAAAAAAAGTCTTTTATTGGTACATTGTAGGTATACAACACAATTACATTTCTCACTGGGAATTGTACCTTTACATAATGCATCTTGGTTCTTATTATTTCCCCATTCCTAGCCCTCCCTTCACGCCCTCCACCCTTCCCTATTTACAAAGACTTTATTTCCATTCTTTCCATTTCTCAGCACTTTTCCTTTCCCTTCTTGCCTTTCCCCTGCCCGTCCCACTACCCCTACCCCTTTGGACCTTTTCTTCCTATTTTGCATTATCGATTATTCATTCTAATCATTGGTACATTTTAGGTATACAATATAATGACATCCATCATTGGAAATTTGCACCTTTACATAATCTCTCTTGGTTCTTATTTTTCACCCTTGCCCAGCCCTCCCTTCAACCCCTCCAGTCCTCCCTATTTACAAAGATTTTGTTCCTATTTTTCCATTTTCTCACATTAATCCCATTCCCTTCTATCCTTTCCCCTAGCCCTCCCACTTCCTTCAAGTCTTGACTCATTGCACACATACATCACTGAATGGATTCAACTTGCCAAGTCATATTTTACTCCTATTAGCCCTGATTTCAAAACATATAAAGTATTTATTAGCCCATAAATAACTCATGATTATCAAGGACATTTTAGAAAATACAGCCAAACAAATGGATGAAAGTGTAAATTGTGTATTATTTCACCACCCAGAAGCACCGTGGTTATGTTATCATTGTAATACCCATTCTTCCTGTCATTTTGCAATGTAATCTATGTACAAAAATGGCATTAAACCATACGTGCTGCTTGGTCAGCATTCCTTCCTGGTTGACCACAGCTTTCCATGTTATTGAATATTTTCCCTTTATCATAATACAATGGATATATCTTGACTAATTTAGCAAATGTCTTACTATTTGATATTAGGTTACTTCCAACTTCTACTATTACAGATAATATGGTAATGAATATCTTTGCAGCTAAATTTGGGGTCCTGTATGTTCCCTGAGGTATAACTGCTGGATCAGAAACATGAATATTTTGAAGGCTTTTGTCAAGTAGGCCCGAAAGACCCTCCATGAATGTTTACAAATTTACCTTCCTTCCTCCTTTCTTTGTCCCAGGCTCTCCATTTTTGTTTCTGAATAAAATAGAAGGCAAATGTTCTCATACAGAAAAGGCATGTTTCTCTCAATGGAGGCATAAATTTCCTTTAATCTATTTAATAATATTTCACCAAAAGCATCTACAAATTTCAACGAGTTTCATTCTATATGTTTTTGGAAACCTATTTCTCCAGGTGGGACTTGAAAATCCTAACTGATGATAAAAGATTAGTATAAGAGGTCTATGGAACAAACTCCTGTAGCAAAATCACTCCTTTAGAATGAGATGCTGGTTGGCTGGACCCTTTGGTCAAGCCTTTCTGCAGTGCTGACTGTAGTTCTTGTTTAGCCCAGGTCAATTTCCCAGTTGCATCTTTGGTTTACAAAGTATATTTCTGATGCTCACACATGTCTTTTGGTTCACTCACACCAGAATGGCTCATCATCTTGGCATCGCTCTTGGCCCTGGCTTTGATTCTTGCTGTTTGCATCGCTGTCAACAGTCGGAGAAGGTAAGAGACTGCTCGTTGGGGCCTGTGACTTTGAAGGACATCTTTTAAACTGAGGCCTTACATCCTTGCTGCTCAGAGTGTGATCCCTGCAAGGCTTCAGCACCCTGGGAGCTTGTTAGAAATGGAGAAACTCAGACACAAGCCCGGAGTCTCATTTAACAAGAATCCCAATATTTAGCAAAATTATTTGGACTCTTACATATTGGTTGAATCTCATGGTTCTTAATTTTTTCAGGGTTAAACTGGGGACTCTGATAAAAGTTACAAAATATCTCACCATAAAGGCATATAAAAATATATACTCACTCACTGATTTATTAAGTGCATTAACAATACACAAAATGTCTCATGATTCAGGGATTGATCAGTCACTGCCATCAGCCCATTTGAGGTCCATGGAACTAACTGTCCACAACCCTTACCTGAAGCAGACCATGGTTTTTCATTTTGTTTGTTGCTTGTTTTTATAATGATGTTATTTTCTATTTTCTGAAAACTGAAGTTGGAAGCGTTCAGATTATTGCCTAGGAAGAGCTTCTGAACAGAAAGGTGTATAGAACCATGAAGAACTTTCTTTCAGAAAGTGTCTTAGTTACTTTTCTCATTGCTGAGACAAAGTACCCAACTCCCAAAGTTAAAGGAGGAAAAGTTTATTTAAGCTTACAGTCTGTAGAGGTTTTAGTTCAAAGTTGGCTGGCTCCAAGTCAGGATGCATATACCTGCTTGCGCCATGGCCAGGCTCCAGAAATAATGCTACTTAAAGTGAAGTAAAGTAGTAATCATTCCGCCAACAGAGAAAATGAACTTTAGCCAGAGGTATCTTAAAGCTATGAGTCTAATTTCCTACCTTTAAATAAATAAATTTTTAAATAAATACATTTTCTACCTTTAAATTAAAAAAAAGTTTGTTTTCTCTGAGTGTACGCACAGGAACATTAACTCTTTGTAGCCATCCCTTGAGACTGCTTCTTAGAAGGGAAGAGAGTTTTAGTTCCAAGCAGGGCCACCTTTATTACACATGTCAATCATCTCACAAGCCAGGAAATGCCCCTGAGTTTGGGAGAAGCCCTGGAGAGAATTATAAACTCTGTTGTTGGCTTTTAAAAAGCAATAGAGGGCCGGGGATTTAGCTCAGTGGCACCACGCCTGCCTTGCAAGCACAAGGACCCGAGTTCGAGCCCCAGTACCAAAAAAAAAAAAAAAGCAATAGACATCTAACTCCAGTGCCATGCACAGCCTTTACAGGTTTTCTAATTATCTGAAGACATCAAATGATGCCATTTTATGTTTCTACAAGTTAATAAAAGTGCTATAGTAAAGCCAAATAGCTGTGTTGCTATCTATGTATTTTGTGGCATAATAAAAAAATAGTCAAGATAGCTGATTCCCATAAGGAACAGAAACTAGGAGAAAAATCTAAAAGACTTCCAATGGGCTCCTAGGACTAAATGGAAAGAGTTTTGTTTTGGTTTGGTTTTTTTAGTTGAATTTAAATGGGACTTGGGGAAGCCCTTACAAAGAGTCTTTATACTTAGCCCCGGCTTCCTTGTTTTCCCTTGGGTTACTTTTGCTTAATTAAATATGAATTTCCTATTGTTTGAAATCAGCCCTTTTTATTCCTGGCCCTCGAATGTAGCACTTTGGCTCGCACATACAGTCTATAAGCTTTGCACATGTCACCATGGCAACTTTGGCCTGGATGCTGTCGACGTGGGGAGCCCTCTGAGAAGCATCTCAACTGTCCCCAGAGCAGCTGGAGTCGGAACATTGTGGCTGGTTAGCTCCCCAGTCGCTCCCTGTCTTGTCAGAGCAGAGAAGGAGCCCCATGGTTCCCCTCCCCCTCCTCTCAAGACCAGCAGTCACCCTAGCAACAGGCAAACAGGGACAAGCAGGATTTGCAGGATTCGGCACAGCAAGTATCTCACCGGGAAAGTAGTTGTTTGGATGCCATAAATTACTGTGTCCTGATTTGATAATTGAAAACAGATTTGCTATGCAGTGGTTAAGGGCTGCACAGGCCCCTGAATGTATGCTGTGTGCCTACAGCTGACAGCCCATTTCTAATCCTCTTAGAAGGCTGGGGCCTTTCTGCTTTGAGCGTGATATGTAAGAGATGTACAGAATCCTATTTCCATCAAAGAAAGTTTAGCTGGAAATAGGGCCTCCAAAGGGAATTCATTTATTCAGCAGGCCTTTTTTTTTTTTTTTTTTGCACTGGGAATCGAACTCTGGTCCTTGCGCTTGCACAGCGGGCAGCAAAACCACTGAGCTAAATCCCCAGCCCTCAGCAGGCATCTTTGGAGTGGCTCCTCTGACTGTTAGCACTGGTGAAGAAGAGAGGAGAGACGATGAAAAGTACCATCCCTTCTCTAAAAGAATCTTGAGGTTTAGTGGCAATAGGGCCACTGCTAAACTGGGGCCAGTAACTGTTAATGGAGAACAGCCTCAGAGCCAGTCATTATCACAGGAATTAGAGTTGAAAGAATGAAAGTAGAAAAGTGTTCACTTTTATGTTGAGATGCAGGACTGGCTGTGGGCTTCAAAGTGCTCTGTGAATCACCTCATCTGAAGGACACTGATTCACTGGGGGTTCCACAATTTCTTCAGCTCTTCCCACAACAGCTTTCCTTGATGCTCTTCATGAAATCAGACTCCATGAATTAGGGCTTTCCCCTGGAGATTGTACTTTCTTGGCTCTCCTTAAGAGCACTTTGTTGTAGCAGTCAGTTGGGTTAGTAGATCCTGAATAAGGCCCGAAGAAGCAGTTCTTGGGTGCCTTCCTCTGAAAGATGTGTCTGAAGAGGAGAAAAGGCATGAGGTCCTTGCCACAGAAGGCTTCAGAAAACAGGAGTGATTTAAGGATGCCTCTGTGCTGACTGTGCAGAAAATGCCCTACCAGACTTCACTTTCATGGGAATAATCATATTTTCGGTAAACCCAAAGGGTGGTCACCCACTTTCTGCTTGGAAGGTTCTCTCTATTCGGCTCTATTTAGAAATGCTTTCTTTCTTTTATGCGACAGTCTAGTCTGCCCCGACCTCTTCCTGTCCTCTACAACAACGCCTTCCAAGCGAACTTCCCACAGTGATAGGAATGTTTGGTCCCTAACTATTAAACCTCTGAGACTCTTGAGCACTTAAAATGGGACTATTTCCACTGAAGAAGTCAATTTTTATTTTTGCTTATTTCAGTTTAAATTCAGTTTAAATTGAAATAGCCACATGTGGCTGGTGGCTACTTATATGGGGTGGTACAGATCTAAAACAGTATAAAAGAAATCCATAAATATCTTTCAGGATTTTCATGTCCCTTTCTTGTAGAAGGGACATGAAATCAGCTGTTAAATTACTTGCCCAAGTCTTTTGCGACACAACCCATATGCTATCTGCATTCTAAACCCTATCCAGCTTATCCAACCAGCCTGGGAAGATCTCAGTCTGGGTCCTTCTGCACTGTGTGGTCTCTGTGTGCCCAGAAAATCCCTGAGATGTAAGGGAAGAGGAGACAAAGGTAGCAAGATTCAATTCAGTGAAGTTCTCTGATCTTTGGAGATAGAAAATCTCAACTGTGATTCTGGCAGCAAGCTGTACGTGTCGCTTTGGATAATACCCTTGACCTCTTGGACTCCATGTCCAGTTTACACAATGAAGAAGCTGGACTGGATGATCGTCGAAGCCTCCTCAGCTCTCATATTCCTTCTAATTTCCTAAAACTAAGAAATATTTTAAAAATTTAGAACTTGCCTTTTAAAGGTACATATTAAATGTCCAGAGAACTCAATATTGGTCTGTGTTCTTTATGAGAATCATTTTGCCTTCCTGAAATAACTCAGACAGATAATAGAGATGCATGAATCCAAAGGGAAATGGGCCAATACGATATTCCCACATTCTATAGTTCAAGTGTTGCCACTTTCAAAATCAGCTTCAATTAGATTAATATTAATCCTCACCCCACTTGCATGCACAGTTTTTCATGACTTTCCTACAATGTTTTGTTCCCATCTCTCAACCATCCATAGGACAGGCAAATAGGAATTACTTCAGTTAGGCAATGTTTCTCCAAAGAACACAGGGTACCACCTGAGAATTTGGAATAATACAAGCAGCAGTAGTCTGCAGTTAGCCTTTTAAGCCATCCTCAGGGTGCATAAAACAAGGTAGGTGGAGGCAGCCAGAAGCTAGTGAAGTTAGTTGCATTAACAATTACAGCTATCACTTCTTTTTTTTTTCATTAAGTTTATTGTTATGTTTTAGGTATACAGTACAGTTACATTCATCATTGGGAGCTTGTACCTTTACGTGATATATCTTGGTTTTGATTTTTTCCTCATTCCCTGCCCACCCTTCACCCACCTCCACCCTTCCCTGTTTACAAAGACTTTGTTTCCATTTTGTTCCTTTTCTCATATTTTTTCTTTTCCCTTCTTTTCTTTCCCCTACCCCTCCCACTTCCCCTACTCCTCAGCCAGCACTTCTTGAATGGTGACTGTATTCCAGATACTGTTCTAAGTACTTATCCAAGGCCTTATTCTCCTTAACCCACACTGTTCATTAGAGCAACAAATAATAATAATAGATTTATTATTGAGTCTCAGGTTCTGCGTGAAGGGCTTTTCGCCATTCTGTGAGATCGATTCTCTTAACGGCCTGATTTTACAGGTTCGAAAACAGGCTCAGAGAGGTTAAGGGAGTCAACCCCCAGTCACATAACTCTAAGGTCTCAAATCCAAACCTTCAACGCTCTGCTCTTGACCATGCACCCTACTGTCTATGTGGCCTCCATCCATCTTCCCAGCCCTTATAAATCACAATTCGAGCATCTTTCCCACCCTTCACAAAGCCTCCTGCCAGAGGATATAGGATCTACCTCCTGTTGGGGAGGTATAATTTCTGTTTCCCCAAACAAGAGATTAAAGTTTATGGCTTTGGCAGTTCTACAAGGAATGGCCCATTGTCTCGGCCCGCGGGTAAGTCAACGGAGACCCTAGAGGGGGAGCGAGGATGAGAGGGGACAGGGGACACGAGAGATGGAGACAAGACAGGTTTCTGATCAAGTCTCGTTTATTACGGAAGCTGTTACAACATATATACCGTAGGGCGAGAGGGGAGGAGCAAGAGGAGTGTACTGGGGCTACTTTTTTGTTGCCGGGTAGATCTGCAACAAGCCCGGGCATGTCTGTAGAAGGCACTCAAGAGTTCCAGCGGGGGGGGGGGGCAGGGCCCCCTACAGCCCATGATAATAAATAATAGAGGCTTTGTCTCTACAACTCCAAACATCCAGTGGCAAAGTGAACAATCCTGACTTCATACTGTTTCCAAATCTCCAGATGGTTGGCAGCATTGACAGAGCCAGGCAGAGCCTGGCTTGTCATAAAGGTCTAGGTTTGATTATTGTCAATCTTACCCCTTATAAGACCTCAAAGAAGTTATTAAACTTCTCTGGGCCTCAGTTTCTACTGCTGTATAATGGGGAGAAAAGCTGCTTTGCAGGATTATTGTAAAGATAACAGAAATTACTTTTAACATGTCTGGGATTCAGGAAGTATTTAATAAGTGGTAGTTCATCTCTGCTCTTCCCAGTTTGCTTGTAATTTTGCATGAGTGGCAGTGATTGTGTTACAGGAAAGAGGAAACATTGCATCAGGCTGGGAGGTATGAGGCCATGGTATGACATTTCTCAAGGTCAAGATCAAGGTCATGCTTTCACATAGAAGACCTTCTTATGCTTTTGAATTTCGAGTAGTTCCTGAGAAACCTTAACGTTACAGTGAATAGTGTGTCTTAGGTTGTTAAATCTTCTACATCCAGGGTTATACAAAAATTAAGCAATGTTAGGGACAAATCAATGACTTTATGTTTCTAGAACGATGTCATTTGATTCTTTTCTCTAAGTGCAGAAGTAACAGTGACAAGGCCAACAAAGTGTTGACGGGAGAGGAAGTAGTGGGACTTTCTTGAATAAGCAGATCAGAATGATTTATAGTGACTGTGTTGATGGTTTATCTAAGTTTTCAGGAACTGCTGAAGTGCTTACAAGAGGCAGACATTTCCATTGTGCAGTATGATGGAAGGAGAATTAGAACTTGAGAATCAGAGTAGTTTGAAGACTGACTCTGACTGCTTTTTCAGTAGCATGGAGAAGATCCTGAAATTTCAGCTCCCGATGGTCTTTTTGACTATAGTAGGGGATTACAGTAGCACTGGATTCCCAGAGTTGTGGACATTGATTCTCATATTTGTGCATCAGTAGCTCCCCAAGGACTTATTAAACCTCAGATCCTGGGACTAGAGTTTTCTAACTCAGTAGGTCTGGGGTGGGACCAAGAATTTGCATTTCTCACAAGGTCACATTGTTACTTTTGCTGCTAGTCCATAAACCTCACTTTGATAAATATCGCTTGCTAAGATTCAGTAAGATAAAGTAGCGAGAGTATTGAACAAGTTGGGGATTAGCACATATTAAGACCATCAGAAATTGCAGTGATGACCATGGTGATGATCACTGATGATGATCATGACGGTGATGGTTGAGTCACTGTGCCCTTTCTAACATAATTCTTTTAAATTGTTAGGTGTGGGCAGAAGAAAAAGTTGGTGATCAACAATGGCAATGGAGCAGTGGAGGACAGAAAGCCAAGTGGACTCAACGGAGAGGCCAGCAAGTCTCAGGAAATGGTGCATTTGGTGAACAAGGAACCATCAGAGACCCCAGACCAGTTTATGACAGCCGATGAGACACGGAACCTGCAAAATGTGGACATGAAGATTGGGGTGTAAGATCTACACCATTATCTTGGAAACAAAAAAAAAACATAGTTGGAGACACAACCATTACAGGGACCTGGGACACTTAACAGATGCAATGTGCTACTGATTGTTTTATTGGAGAACTATTTTTAGCATAAAATTTTCTATTCCTTTTTGTTTTTGTGTTTTGTTTTTTTTTTAAAGTCAGGTCCAGTTGATAAAAATAACATTGCTTTGTGAAACGAGAGCCCAATTAATAATCCACAAGAACTTGATAGTTCTGCTTTCTACCTAGAGGTCTTTTTATCCCCTGGGGTATGTCATGGATGGCTTCTAAATGCCACAAATTCATGTTTCTGATACTCAACACCCCCAAGCCCCACTTGCCAGGTAACAGCCAGCAGCCAAGGATATTCCTGGGGCCAGGAGGGATTGGTTCCTGGGAGGAAATTTGAATGGGTCCATATCGCCTCTCCAGTAGCCTAATCCTGGGTCATTGGTTTCCAGTGGGGTAGGAGATTGGAGTATACTGGTTACACATCCTCTCATACAGACTCCATGGAAATTTATGAGTTGCTTCGGGGAGACACCCAAAGGGTGAAGCTATTTATCTGTAGTAAGCTATTTATCTGTGTTTTTGAAATATTAAACCCCGAACGTCCTTTGATCAGTATGATTTTTCCCCAGGTTTCTTTGTCAGAGGAACAAAAGGGTTTAAGCTAATTCACAATAAACTTCTGTACTTTTTCCATCTTAACCTTCGTGCTGTGATCTTTCACTTTCTAAACCGCAAGGTCCAGATCTCTGTAGCTCTTCAGAAAGATCTGAGAATGGTTCCCTAAACTCATCTCATAGCCTCTTTGCCCCTACTCTGCTAAATTGCCTAGAAGATCAAGGAAGACAGCACTATTTTATTTCCAAAGATGTCCAAAGGCTTACTCTTCTTTTCTGGAATCAGAATTGTGAGCAGAAGAGTTTCTGCCATTTTTGAGTTTTAATGGCCATGTTTCTCTCCTCTGAAAGGCCTTGAAAAGTCACATTTAATGTGCATAACCCATCATTGTGGAGTCCAATTTCTCATATGTTCATTCTCTTAGTGATTTCCAAAAGTAACATGAAAGTGCCTTTTGACATCTTGTTATAAAAAGAGAAGCCAATAGAAATGAAAGAAGAGTCAGGGGCCAACTGATTGGCACAGGCTGGTGAGGTGGAATGCTCTGTAAATCCTGTTTGACTATTTATGGCTGTATTTGTTTATACTTCAACATTGTCTGTATGCACTTGCCCCTCCAGATGAGTTAAGCATGTGGGGAATCCCAAGTTACAGGGCTTCCCACCATTGGAATCTTATCACAAGATGAGCAGGTTTATGGCTAAATGAGTGAATAATGGCTCTTTCCTCTGTCCTCATGTTTTTTCCGAGTTGGCAAGTTTTTCATGACATTTCTTCATCAGTCAGGATGTCTCATTGGTCCTGGAACTCCCAAAGACTACTTATAATCATAGAGACTGAATCTATACAGTGAAGGGTTCTATAAACTGGGATCTGATTTCCTCAAACATCCAGAAACATCACTTGTTGCCTAAATTGATAAGTTTAATTGGGAATGTTTCTTAAATAACAAAAGAAGAAGGAAAACAACTTCTAACTTAGATCAGTGGTGGGTTGATACAGAGATTTGCAAGCCTTCCATGCTCATTCCAAACCTCTGGTCTTCCTACCCTCCTTATGTCCTCTCTCCCTGTACCCCTGCCATGATCTTCAAAAAACTCCTTTCTCTTCTTCTGTGAATATATTGACCAGTTAGTTATATAGTCAGCTACTTGGTTTTCTTTTTCTTTCTTTTTAAGTTAAAAGAAAATGGAGATCACACCACTTTGAGTTGTTGCTGCCATTGGTGTTAAAATGCCCTGTTTTCCAGGACCTGGTCTCTACTCATCCCTCAGATTGTCTTATGGGCACACGGAGTCAAGCAAATCTCACAGATAGAGATGACTGCCCACCCATTCTAGACAGTCCCAACAAACAAGCTGGCGTGGGAGACGATTTGACATAGCAGCCATGACACTTGAAGCACAATTTGATTATGTGTCTTTCCTGCCGGTGACCTGCCAGGTGACCTGGGCTAAGTCCTTAAACGGGATCTTATTTATAAAAGTAGGAAGCCAGCATTTATCTTGCAAAGCAGCCTGAGAGTTTAAGATGTACTTTTCCCTGCAATGATAAATCTTTCATGTCTCCTGAGGGCTTTCTTTAAATTAACTCTGGGTAAAAATTTGAAGGATGCCAAAGACACTTTCAAGAGTATATTTTACAGGTTCTAGCCTAGTAAAATGGATTCTTCCAACTGAACATCTCAAAAAGTTTTACATTGAGAACCATTACACCAAGAGCCAATTTTGTAGCCAATATTTATTTAATCCTTTTACTGCAGAGTAGAAATATCCAACTTTTCTGGAAGAGTAAAATGCACGTAGGAACAGGAATAACATGACCCAAACTGGGTGTTGTGGTGCACGTCTATAAACCCAGCATTCTGGGAGGCAGAAGCAGGAGGCTCACAAGTCCAAGCCTAGCCTGAGCAATTTAGTAACTTAGCAAGAGCCTGTCTCATAAAGGGGGGTGGGAGGGATGTAGCTCAGTCCAAAGGCCCTGCGTTCAGTCTCCAGTAAAAAAAAAAAGAAAGAAAAGAATAACATGGTCCATTCAGTTTGATGTTGTAAGTATGTCCATTTGTAAGTCCTTTGTGTTTATTTTTCAGAAACTAGCCAATTGTTCATGTACATACAATGACCATTGCTACCATTACTTTGAGTTTTCAGAGCACATCCTCTCTCCGGTTTTTGTATATTTATTAATGAAAGCATGATATGTCTATTGCCAAGTTGAAAGTCCTTATTGGAAAGTATTAAAAGGCTAACATTAAAAGGCTAAATGAAATGGACTCAGGAGTCTCTAATTTAAGGTGGACTAGGAGGTTGGGAAGGGCAGAACTGGAATGATCTGCATGTCTGGGTAATATAGAAGCAACAGTCAAAGCTTTCAGAGGTGACTGAATCCTCACACTCATTTTTTCTAAAGGAAAAATTATACGGGTTTCCATGACTTAAAGTGTTGTTTTGGAGAAAGTTTGATTTTTTTCAAAGGCAGTGTGTGGTCCTCAGTTTTTTTGTGTGTTTTTTGTTTTGTTTTGTTTGGGTTTTTTTGGGTACTGGGGATCGAACTCAGGACCTTGCACTTGCAAGGCAGGCGCCAGAACCACTAAGCTAAATCCTCAGCCCATCCCAGTTTTTAAACTAAGTGAAATGCTGTGAGGTGATAATTCTTTAAAAGCCGAAAACTACTCTGGGATTCCGAGTTAAAGAGAGGAGTGTGGGCATTCTCACTTCCATTCCTTCATACGGTCGTATAAAGACAGTGAAGACATACTGTCAAAAGGAATGAACTAGGTAGAAGATACTGGAAGAAGAGACAATAGCAATAAAACTTTGAAGCTGGAAAGTAGTGGTCAATTGACAACTGATTAAATAAATATAGAAGAGCTGAATCCTAAACCAGCAATGGGGAAAGTTGAGAAATAACCAAGTTTATGTGGCAGGATCCTCCAAATGCTCAGGAATTGGCAGCATTATCTACTCTGGAAGTGATAGGAAAGGTGGGATTGGATTAGAAAGAAGCTTAAGGTCTATTTAAGAAGCAGTCAGAACTCCAGCCCCCTTCTCTGCTCTACACAGTTGTGCTTTCTCAATTCTAGCAGAAGGCCAGACATTGATTCTCTAGAGTAGGCAAAACAGAGTCAGGCTGAGGGGCAACAGGACAAACTGAGCCCACTCCATAAGGAATGTTGAGACTTCTAGGTGTTTCCCTTCTCCTTGGCTCCCAGAACACTGGCAGCCAGGCGTGTTTCCAGGGGGAAGCTCAGGCTTTCTGGGGAATTTGATAGGCCTGAGAAAAAAACCCTAAAGATACCAAAACAGCAGTGCCCCAAGGCAATGGACAAGCAAAACAATTTGCAGTGAAGGTCACATCTCACACCCCACTAGGCCTGCAGGACCCCCAATCAGCTGTCTGTAGCTCAATTTACACATGGGTGACCACCAGGGGAGCTGGAAACTTGCAGAAAACACCTAATATTAAAGACAGGAGCTGAAGAAAACAAGACAGCTTAGACTAGTCAGAGACAATTCATGGAAGAAAGTCCTCTTTAAAAAGATCATTAATAGGCTCAGTAGAGTAAGAGGAGATAGTGTTATCTATGAAGGGAGGACACAATGCTCAAACAAGGAACATTCAGACAACACCTTAAAAAGGAGCTTTTAAAATATAAATATGAAGGCACAGATTTAAAAATAAACTCAACAGAAGGCTTGGAAGATAAAGTAGAAGACACAAGCTTTAAAAATAGAGCAAAGACAAAGAAATGGAAATGGGAATATATTAGAAAGATTGAGACCCAGGGGCTGGGGATTTAGCTCAATGGCTCCACTCCTACCTTGCAAGCACTGGGTCCTGAGTTCAGGAATTGGTACCCGAAAAAAAAACCAAAAAATAACAAACCCAATAACAGAAAGATTGAGATCCACTCCAAGAAATCTAACATGTAAAAAATCATCTAATCAGTAAATTAAGGAAAATTTCCAGAATTTAAGAACATGAATCTCTTGACTAAGGATTGAATGCTTACTCCAATGGATAAAAACAGACCCACACACTAAGGCATGATATCATAAAAATACATAACATTTGGAGCAAAGAGATGATTCTATAGGTTTCTAGGGGAAAAAAATAAGCATATAGAGGGTCAAGAATCCGAATAGAGTCCCACTTCTGAATAGCCACTTTGGAAGGTAGATGGTCCTTCAGAGTGCCTTCAAAATTCAGAGGGAACTGTTTCAAGGTAGATCCTCTAACTTAGCTACCCCACAAATTAAGAAAAGGGTAGAATGAAGATATGTCAGATATGCATCGTCTATAAATCCATTCAACTCTTAACAGGTGAGTCCCACTGGAACTGCCAAATAAAGGGAGTTACCATGAAAGCGGAAGCCAGGAGTTTCAGAAAACAAAGTAACGGGAATTCCTGAAGTGACAGAGGGAGATCCCAAGAAGACAGCTGTCCAACGATTGTCCAGGGAATAATCAGTTTAAATTGAAATAATACATGCTTGGCCTTTATTGACCTCTGACTTGAAAGAAAATTAATTTTTGATTGTATCCGTTAACTATTGATGGATTAAAAACCACACCAAAATCAGCGGCTTAAAACAACAAACATTTACTTATTTCTCATGAGTCAACTCATTGGGTACTTCCGTTGACCTGGGGAAGGGCTCGTTGACTCAGACATGTGTGCGCGATTTATAAATTGGTTAGCTGAAGCTATCTGGTCTAGGATGGCTTCATCTTGGATGCCCAGAACCTTTTACCATGTGCCTCCTATGCTGCCAGATGACCAGTCTAACCTGGTAGGAATCCTGGTGGTAGAGGCCCTGAAGTAGCATAGCATTCTAGTATTCTGCCGTATTTTACTGCCCAAAGCCAGTCAGAAGAACAGCCCATATTTAAAGGAAAATAGGTTATCACAAAGCGAGAGAAGCCACAAAGTCACGTTGCAAAAAGTAAAGCTACAAGGAGGCGAATTATCAAGGCCATTAATAAAGTATGTTGAAGGATTCCATGACTCAAGGGTACTTCTCATGTTTATGTTTAAGGTACAGTCTCTGTTTAAGCTGTGTTGGCAATGGCATTAATTTAGAGAACCATAAACAACTTAATAAATGCCAGGCTTTTTGGAGATGGGAGGAGCAGAATCATGTGTACACACATATTTGAAAAATTGCCTGGTACTATAGAAAAACCATGAGATTTGGAATCAAAATTAAAAACTGATTCTACCACTAATTAACTATCCAATCCCACTCATACATCTTCAATTCTTTGAGTCTTAGTTTTCTTGTCTGTAAAAGAGGGGCAGTAAAATCATCATGGGGTTGCTATGAGAATTACATAAGATATTAGGTATCTGACAGTGTTTGGTTCATATTAGGACCTCAAAAATATGAATTCCTGGGCCAGGGATTTAACTCAGTGGTTCTGTCACCTGCCTTGCAAGCAGAAGGTCCCAAGTTTGATCCTCAGTACCAAAACACACACACACACACACACACACACACATATATATATATATGAATTCCTACCTTTTGACTCCCACTTATGCACTTTAGGTTCTTAAACTTACCCTTCACCATTGCCTCCAATTTCCTGAACTCTGGCTTTTAAATGTATATTGCTAGGGTGACTAGAATCACATTATTTCAAAATCCAAGGCATTTTTGTGAGGGGAGCCTTTTGATTTTAATAGAAAGTCTTTTGTTTTCAAAGCAAGACTTAAAAGCAAGGGGTCCAGGAAGCAGACAGCTGGCATTCCTTGATGAAATCTTGGTCATCCATGTTTTGGGTGCACATTAACCAAAGCTGAGCATCCACTCATGGCTTCAATGGTCGCCTCAACCGACCACTACCCAGGCTGAGCTAATTTCCTTCTTTTTTGTTCTACCTTTTTACCTCGTCCCCTACTACTATACACTACCACAATTCTTACTCTGAAATTTTGTTAATTTGCCAATGGGCCTATCTCTCCCACTGTATGGCAGGTCTCTTAAAACCAACATCCAGCTTTGTATCTCCAATGTACCACAGAAATCCCAGCTCAATCAAGGTTGCAAAATTCACCATCTGCTACTGATCGCTTAAGAACATTGGGGTTCACACATCTCTGAATTTTCCCCACAACCAATGAGGATGAAATTTTTATCCCATTTCAACAAATGAGTCAGCTAGAAGTATAGAGAAATTAATTACCATTCTGAAACCATACAAATAGAAAGTGGAAGAACCTAGATAGAACTTAGCTCGGTCCAAAGTCTCTGACTTCATGGGCCTTATTGCCTATTGTCAGATGTTTAGTAAATTACATTTGTCGACATTTGGGGATCATCTCCAGATGTCACAAACCAGGAAAGCACTCCCCAGCTCTCTGTGCCTGGTGGGCCAGAGGAGGCTTTTAGAAATCCCTGGACAGGTTTTGGAATGAGTGAGTAAAGACGTACTCACCATTTAGGTCCTATTGGCAAAGGAATTACTTTAGGAATCCATAAACAACCTCATGGATGCTGTATTTATTGGAAGGGGAAGAACCCGGTCATGTGGAAGTACGAATTTTGCCAGGATGCCCTGGGGTCAAGAGAGAAGGAGTCTGGCTTAGCCCCTTAGCCTCAAGCCCTATTTCTTGCCTGTGTTAACATCTTGTCTTCAACACCAGTAGTTTGCCTGTCAGGCCTCCCCATAACTCGCCCCCTCAGTCTTGCCCCCTTAGGCTTCCAGACTGCTTACCTCATCATGTGGTGACTACTGTTTTCCAGAAGTCTTGTCCAAAATACTTTCTCCTTCCTCACTCTCTAAAGAGGAATGGCAAGAACCCCAGGAAAGACAGCTAATGTTTAGTTTTAAATGATGGTCTTTAATATCAGATTCTCAGTTCAAATCCAACCACTGTCATTTACTTATGTCTGACCTTATATTAGTTACTTAACAACTCCCTGCTGCAGTTTCCTCATCTGTAAAATGGGAATAATAAGTTCTACCAGAAAAACTGCTGGATAATTAAATGAAATAAAACGATCATCTTCAACACTTCTTTTGTGTGTATATACAGTAGGAACCTAGAGAGAATATGAACCATGATTTGGAAGAAATCAAAGGTGACCCAAGAATTTCTGAGTCTCTTCCAAACCCTTCCAAGAATTGGAGTCCTGCAAACCTACCTCCTCCACCCTGAGATTTCAAGTGGCCTCAGGAAGAAAGAAAGACTCCCCCTACTGTTTTCCAGGGAGTGGTGAAATACACAAGTTTTTATTGTCAGCATATTATTATACAAAGAT